TTCCTGTTACTGACGGTAGTCTGATGCCTCTGTGGTTTTCACATTTGCTCATATCTCCTTTTTTTGGTATCTTGATGAGTTATTCGTTCATCCCTTTCCAATTGTCCTGCATAGTAGTTTCTGCTTCTTTGAGATGTTCTAAGGCTTGGAATCTGTTGTTGATAGTTATCTTGAATTTGTTGATTTGTCGAAGGAGGTCTGTATTGAACCCTTGTAATGCTGTTTGTCCTGTTTTATGAACCTGTTAAGTTTTATACATCAAGTCATTACGATGCTCGTCATTCTGATATATTTAATTTATTTCTAATAAATAATGAGCACCTAACTTGCTGCAATTTTACGAAAGATGTATAAATGTATGGTCTTTGAATAAAAATTTATTTAAACCAATATAAATTATCAGCTGTTCTGATGTTTTAACTCATCACAATTATAAAAATAGCAGCTGGCTACCAATTAGGTCTTGTTTAAAATGATTTCAAATTAATTGTGTAACGATGATATTGAAATCTAACTGATAAATGAGCTATTAAATTCATTTTACTGTTGATAAACTTGATCTAAATGAAAACTGTTTTACATATTTATCAAATGCATATCACTTTTTTTGTTAGATTAAAGTTAGAAAATAATTACATAGGTTGTATGGTCACTAGCGGTGCAATCCAGGATTCCACTACCAGCGACCATTTAGCTCTGCTTATAATGCTTGTGACCTAATGGCAATAAACTGAGAAGTCGCACAGGATGTACATTCACCAAAAGAAACTGATCAGTTGCAGTCTAAAACATCAGTGGGAAGAATCAGTAAACCAATACAAATGAATTAATTACATAAAATTATTACACTACTGAAATTCAACGTCAACTGCTTAAATACATTAGCTTTTAAAATCAAGCAGAGTAGAATATATTCTATTATTATTCATTGAAGAAAGAAGTGTAGTTGGAATTAGTAAGTGCAAATGTGTTCAACAGAATGCCGTAAGAGTGAAAAATCACTTCGGTTACCTCGGCTTTCATAGACTAAAAGAAACTGATTATATATCAAACGTCCATTTCAATTTGTCAATGAATCCCAATTTTCATTCTACTATCTTCTGTTTCTGAACGAATAAGGAAAAATGATCAATTTTTCGAACGAAAAGCAAAATGCCCTAACTCTTTAAAATTTATAGTTATATGAGTATATACAATCAATCAAATGACACTGAACCTTATCCAAACCATCTATCAAACAGAATGTATGTCAACTCTAGAAGATTGATAAGCGGACATTGGGTGTTTAATGGCAAGTCATCATAATCATGAGTGACCAACGCAAAAATTAAAAAGGGCACGGGACTTACATATGCACTAGACAGTTGCCTCTCCTCCAGTCCCTCCTTCTAGAAAATATCACATTCAAGATAAGTTTATTTGTCCCCTAAGTGTGCTATGAAATTAAAGATGCCACAGGTATTCGGAGTTTGACAACGCTTTAACCAGTAACACCTTCTAATATGAATTGTACCCACCAAGTGAAATCAAAAGACAGAAGTGAGGAGGTTCGAAAATATATTTGATAGGCTATCAATCTGTCGAGGATCGTCTGATCTAATCTGGCTAGCGATTGCAAGGGTTGTTGAGCACGGCGTTCCCACTCGTGATCTGGTGCGGATGCATGACCAAGCGCCTTCAGCTGGGTGAGTCCATTAAATTTAATGTGGTCAGCATCCAATGTCGAAGACTTACAGAGCTATTTATTTTGGGTATTTATTTACCGCTACAGAATCAAGATATATCGAATACTAAGATGGAGTGAGTCAGGTTGGGAAAAATCATAAAAAGGTGCGACTTTGACATAAGATTACTTAACTGTTCACATCATTACTGTTTGACTCTATTGTATAGTGAATTTTAATCTAAAGATAGAAGTAAGCACTATTCATTAGTTCAACACTCACAGACGTATTGTAAAACATGAATTTGTGGTAAAAAAAATATTTTGCTGTAACCTATGTTTGATAAATAGGATTTCAACGACTTGGCTTTTGATCAATAATTTAAATTTATATGGTTTTTCAATGCTTAAGTATTTCTAGTACTTAGAATGAGCAGAATGATTCCTGTTATCTCTGTAACCGTATAAAATTATGATCCATCATGTTATTTATTTATCTACTGGGGCACGAACACTTAGTATATCATGTATTTTATTGTTCTGATAAAACACTGATTTTGTTCGATTTGACGATGATTGTCTACAAAAACTTACAACCAAAAATGTGTCACGCTATGTTAGTATCACAACGGAAAAAGTGGTCAAGGTCATTTACTAAAACAGCAGGTACAATCATTTAATGATAAATGTACATGTAGTGAGAAACTGACAAAATAAATACCAATAATATTAAAAACTATTTACAAAATAAGCTTGCCAGACCTATCTCCACATAGCTCCCCCCAGAGTGTCCGGAGGTAACACTGGTTGTTCGCAAATACACTATTACACACACATGCTCCTTGTTCTATTCTCACGCGTTATCGAGCTGATCGCATTCTAAATCAGATATTATCCACATTTTAGTCTGCTGTGCCACTTCTATTACACCCTACGTCAAAGAAACTTACTGGAGTTATATTTACCTCATTGGAATTATTACTCATTTATAATTGTGGATTTTTGGGACCAAAACTCAACAGAATACGCAACAACTAGCTGATTTAAGTAACGTCCCTGAACTTTTAATTTGTGTTACTAATTTATAAATTGTTATTGTTACATTAACTTTTGGACGTAATAACTTGATCGCTAATTTTTGGTTATTATACTTTTTGGTCCACCACAAACTAAATACCACTTAATTACTTACTGTTATCCCTCGTGGAGGAGCATAGGCCGCCCATCAGAATCTCCCAACCAACTCTGTCCTGGACTCTCCTTTCCAGTTTTTCATTGTTTAATTATTTAAACACATAAACATTAGTACAAGAGGGCGCCAAATAGATATGCGCCACATAAATCATTCGATTTGTCGAAGGCCTGAGATACTGTCCGGGCACCCAGATCGAAACAGGTGGCTTTCTTGAGGGGTCACACACCGAGCATTTCACCTAATGGTCTAATCCACAAGGCAGTGCAGCAACGTAAGGAGATGCAGTCACATGGTAGCCGGTGACCAATAATTGGTTCATACACCATTTGTTACTTCAGGATCCTGGAGCTCATGTGTACCGTTAGTTTTGAGACAGAGTTTTCCAACTCGTGTATGTGGATCATCTGTATCCACTAACCTGGTTAAAGCGCTGGACGTTCGCTTTTTTGTTTTCTCAATTTCGCAGAAATCGGCCCCTCCATGAGAAGGCAGTGAGTAGGACTTCCTTGGTAGTGGTTGAATGCACATGACCATGTGAGACCATTTCGAGAGAGAGCGGTCTCTGCCCACTCTCGGCCGTATCAGAGCATTTAGGGACCTCCTATCTAGTTGTTTCCAAATGACATGTGTTTTTCCAAAGTCAACCTTTAGTGCCCGATGCACAGAGCTCTTGGGTTCCCCACTTCTCCTTCTGCTTTGAAGATTCCAAGTGAGAGCTTTACACGTGTCTTATCCTGCACAGGCTTTTTTTCCCAATGTCCTCTTCAGCTGAAAGCTCATTTTTTTCTCTTTCACAGTAGGCCGTTGCTGATGGTATCTGGTCAACGGATATTGAGTATCTTGTGTAGATAATTGTTTATAAATACTTGTACCTCTTTGATGGTGGTTGTAGTAGCTGTCCACGTTTCAGCTCAGTACTGTAGGACTGTCTTGAAGTTCGTATTGAAGATTCTGACTTTGATGTTAGGCAACAGATGCCTAAAGTTCCATTTGTTATTCAATTGCAGGAATGCTGCTCTTGCCTTCCTCCTTCTAGTCCATGACCTCCCATGCTATCTTCATACTCGGTATAGTACATTCTAACTTTGGCTTTTAGGTCTCCTATCAGAATGGTTGGGTTCTACCGTGATCACTTCTTCACAATCATATGCAGCCTTTCGTTAGACTAATCTTTGTCATCTTCGTCGCTATAATTAGTATGTGTATAACATTGAATATCATCCACTGTGATTCCCTCCTTCTTTGTCTTGAAGGATGCTTTGATGATCATGGATCCATGAGATTCCCATCCTATAAGTGCCTTTCGTGCTTCTTTGGATAACATCAGTACAACTTCTTGTGTGTGCGAAGCATTTTATTCTTCATAACTAGAGTAAAACAGCGTTCCCACTGAACCTTATCTTTTCTGCCCAGCTTGGGTCCGGTGGGTTTTACTTATTCTGAGCACCTCCAAGTTGTATCTCCTCAGTTCTGCAGCTACTTGATTAGTCTTCACGGTCTCCCACATTGTTCGGACATTTCATGTACCTATATTAATTGTTGCTCTGGTTTTTAGAAGGGGCATCGGCCTCGTGACTTACGAAGAATCTTACCTTTCACCGTGAGGCGCCACAACTCTTCTTAATGAAGATCCTTTAATTCTTAGGACAGATTTTAAATGGTTTAAATAATTTTTCTGGTTAGCGCTTTTCTACCAAGGTTGTTCTCTCTGGAACGAGGTTGTTGACCTTATGTCCAACCCTCCTCCTTTACCCGGTCTTGGGACCAGCAGTAACCTTAAGAGGGTTACATGCGGTAAGCACTTAATACTTTTCCTAAAAAAGTGTTATCATAAACGTATTAAAACGAAGCAATTTGTTGTTAGTTAACAATTTAGATGAAATATCATAGTTATGTACCTTAGTTTTACTTTACCGTGCACTGACATAATCATAATTATTTTGAGTGGATTGGAATATATCCCTCTGAACTTGCGCTAATGTAATTTGGTTATCTATCAAGTCTCTGAACAAGCAAGTTACAATAAACTGCGAAACTTTTGAAATTGAATGTTCACCCCATTCGGATAATACAAATGTATCGTTTAATTATTAACAACTAAGTGTTTTTAAAAACAAAACATAATTCATCAATCTGTACATATTAGTTGTCATTTTAATTTGAGAAATATGACTGTTTACAGGAATTAAAACATTAGCATGGACTTTTTAAAATTGACTAATAAGTTATAATCGATAAACATTTTGATTTCTTCCACTTTTTTACAAATATAATCATATTTTAAGATCCTAATCTTTATTTAGTGTATCCAAACAATCTGTCTATTATCCAAATAAATAATCTTTCTTTAATCATCACCTTCTTCTCCTTCTTCTTGTTCTTCTTTAGCTAAATCTTCATCTTCCTCTTCGGGCGGATTGAGCAGAGCTCTTAATGCAGCCTCTTCTTGAGGAGTTGGATCGGTTGCCTCATTGAAATCAGAAACTTCTTGATATTCATCCATTTCAATCGGTTGTACCTGAGGTTGAAAACCTGAAGTAACTGATTTTAAGCCCCACCCAACATAAATATTTTCAAATCGCCTATAAAAGAAGTATTAAAGGTTTGATACTGCTTAAATGATATTACTGCTTAGATTTATGTGCTAGTAAAGGACACTAAACGACATGAATCGACCACAACTGTGATTCTCAACCCTTTTGGTTCGTTATCCCTTACTTAACTGCCGAAATACCAAAAAGAAACCGCTGTCCTCTTACTGTAAAGAATGATTATTTTGTAGTGAATTTTTAATTAACCTTAAGATACAATAGGAAGATATGACTTAATAAAGAAAGCAAACACAATGAGGTTATGTAAGCAATACAACAGTGCTAATAAAAATCTGAAGTGGACATACTCCTACCCTAAAACGTTGTGTCTTAATTTAATCACTTTCAGTCAATGAGCTAACAAGCTGAGAATCCTGTGGCATAAATCCTGCCTTCAAGATTCTAAAAACATGAATGTTAATAAGTGTGTAGAATTATTTCAATTAATCTAAAAACAATAGTCAAAGTTCAGAGAAATATTTCAAAATATCTAAATTTAAAAAAGGAAGAAATTTAGTGCACTTAAGTGGGACATGTTGAGCTATCTCACTTTATATGTTGTTGCAAATAATTTCTCGTATTTGTGAAGTTTTAAGTGTCTAAAATATTTTTTTGTTTCATGTAACTTCCATGGGATTAATGTAGCTACTTACCTCCCCCATGATACTGCATGTGCCCCCACCCAGATATTAGAAGATACAACAACAGATGCATATTCTGGCAATAATTTAGAGCTTATTCTGATTGACCATGGTTTTTGTCCAAATATTGGTAAGTCAGATGAAATCGGTGTAAGTATAGGTGGTCCACGTTCTGGTTGTATGACATTCTTCATTTGACTATCTTCATTTTCCTCTGCTTCATCCTCATCATTAATTTCATCAAAATAATCGCCCGAACCCTTTTTTGGATTCCACCTAATAAAGCATAAAATGTGAAAATCTTAATTGAATCTAATACCACTAGAATACGATTAGGTGAAACCACTTTTAACTCGATTAGTCTTTTCCTTTTACTGCTGTTTTGTTAATTGCGTTATGCTACTGACTATTAATAAGTAGTTACATAAGTTTTCAGCTACTTATATGACTTTCAGCTTGTAACAAAACTAGAAAGTCAAATGTTCGATATTAATTTCCCTCATATTTCTAGTACCAGTCTAAATGTAACATTGTCCATTAGCATTTCAAGATGAACAGAAGATAAGGATTATTGGCTGTTTCTTTAACTTGCCTTTTGTATTCATGACTAATTATTTGCCATATTAAAATCAAGTTACCAAGTTGTTAGTTGGATCTTTTGTCCATAGATAACAGCTCTAATTATATGGTATCTCTTTAGCCAGTGGATTATTGATTCTGTCTTCTGAAATATATTCAACCGGACTTCGAAATTCGGTTTCGCAAGTACTTGTCAGTCCAATTATGGTGGTTATTCCCATAATCTTGTCTATCATTTATCGTTATAAAAAGATTTTCTAATGTGAAAAAAATTTGCTATTATCAGTTAGTGGTTAACTTCTGTGTTCTGTAGTTCATTCGCATTCAGCGTATACGCTGTAAAAAATGCTGACCACCACAACGGATTCACGCTTACATCAACTCACCAATAAACTCTTCCCTGTGGTAGAATATAGGATGTATGATGTACCCAGTGTATAAGACTTGGATCAGCTAATTCATTAATACTTAATGGTTCGTATTCTTCATTTTTTACATAATTCTGTCGTTCACCTTCTTCTTCATTCCCAAGTTCTTCTGCTTCTTCTTCTTCTTTACTTCCAAAAGTATAATAACCTTGTGGAGATATTTGGGTGGATGCACTAATTCGTGCTATCTGAGCCCGTAAGTAATTAGCTTCATTACCAGGATAAGGTGGATAACACGAAACCGGAGAATCCAATATCCCAGTAAAGAGACGATGAACCTAAATTAAATTTGAATAAACAGTCCATTACAACTCAGATATTAAACCTATATAATTTTTTACCATTCAGAAGTTTGTTAGTTTCCGGTACCGTTTTCGTCTAGTTTATATAATATGTATTTATGTATGTATGAATATGAATGAGACTCAAAATATATTGAGGTTATAAACGATAGTATTTACCAAGTAAAATTATTAATATTGCGTCAAAAATGATAATCGATAAAGTTTTAGCCTAGTTAAATAACTATCAAGCACTAAGTAACCGTTTTCTAAGATTTTTCTTGATTGTTTTTCCAAGAGAATTAATGTTAAAACAGTTTATCCACCTGCACAATAATTGATAATTGATCAAATTGAATGAATAAATAAATGTAACGGGCGAAAGCAAGTTCATTTTATGTAATACTGAAATTTTTTATACACAGTCCGAAGAATAAAAAACTGAAGTTTTATTCGATAATAATCACTAGCACGAGGAACTAGAAAACATACTTTTGATACTATTCAGCGATCAGTGTATGTAAATTAAACATTGTGTTTTTCTCAACTTAAGGAATCGCGAACTTAATTTAAAGAGGAACTAATTGTAACCTGTATGAAACTAAGATGATAATAGCGAATAAATGGTTTACATCAAACCTCGATTTAATTATTTTCAAACTGAAGAATCTTGTGCTATAATAGAATAATACAAAAGCAGTTAACATGCCTTAAAGTGAAGTGACACCTTAATTTTCTCCTCAAATAACGTATCTTAATCGTTACCAACGAGCTTGTTTTAAGTTTGGATCTACACTTTTTCCCAAGGCTAGAATTGCAATCTGGCTGTTCCAACTAAAATATGTTCAGCTGGATAGGAACCCAAGACTAAATCAATGAAGTTCTAGTGCTTATGGAAGAACTGTCAGAATAATAACCTTGTATCCTTTTTTCTCCTAAAATCTTTAAAAAGTTTTTTTAATTGCCATTTAACACTGAAACGAACGTACAGCTCGAGCAGCTACTATTTGTTCAGGTGTTACCGGTGGAAGTTTTATCCATTGTAGGCCTGGTTCATGACATACGAAATAAACTTTCTTATTAGTTCCAATATGATTTTCCTCTCTCGGCACTTTGACTGGTGGTTTCCATTTGGACTTTGGTAGGACATCTTTGCCTTCTTAAAAAAACTCAAATAAGTTTGTTATTGTCGATTAGAGAGATTAACAAAATAACTATAAAAACGATAAATTTTATGCAAAATAACCAGTCAAACTATTACCACGTCCCACAAAAGTTGATGTTAGTTCCAGATCAATTGAAACCATCAGACTCTGAATATTCGAGATTTCATAGTAATTCTTCATGAAACATTACAAACATCCTTGATGAAGTTATTATGGCGTAACACCTAATTACCTACAAAGTACGTAACTATGACTTATTCTCATTTGGACGTCTTTGGTTAGATAAAACTTTCAATTTAAAGTGGATTCTTCAGGAAATCCAGTAAAATAACTTCCTTCAACAACATGACAGATAACCTATCTATCATATTAAGTATCTGACGGAGCAATAGTAAAACATTGAGCTTATATAAAATAGGGCAACTCTAACCATGTGCGAATTCGACAGTGTAAACTGATGTTATGTACTCAATCAAACAAGCTGACAGACAAAACAAAAGCTGAATACATTTTATTGTATACCGTAGTAAATTCCTCAGCTCAGATGTATTGCAACGCACTACTTAGATTCGGTAAACACACACTGCACATCAATAGTGAACATACAATGAACGGAAAAAGTAAATTATATGTGCTTAAGTTCGATGCCTAAGGGAAGTAAAATCTGTTAAGTCAACATTTTCTGGTCTCTTTGTACATAGTAACTGTTCACTGCTTACGCATGGACTTTTACTACTTAATTTTACATTCAAAATCAATCCATAAACTTTAATTCACTTTCTGGGGGTTCTTTTCACCTGAAAACGAAATCAAACTATTTCGGGGGTTGTTCAAGATCAGTTTATTTACGCGTTTGCTTCATAACCACCATAACTGAAGTTATTTTATCAAGTTTATCGGACATTACATAACGCTATATCTACAATCTATTCAAGTCGCTATTTGTCAAACGATACTGAGATAAAAAAATTTATAATTAAGAGGATCAAATAAACCGCTGGCATTAGAACGTTTGAAACTGTATAGAGTTCATCCAATCGATGGATGTTGTTGAAAATCGATATAAAAGTTTTATTACGCAGACGAAGTTCTGTTACAATGTAGAACAATTAAAGATCAAGGACTAAATTATGGTAGTTTTATCCAACTGATACTGCTTAAGTAACTGCATAGTACTGTTCCTTAGGTTCATCCCGGTAAGAAGTCGTATGTTTGTACTGCTATGGGGTAATAAACTAAGTAAAAGATTTTAAAACCCTCCATGTTTTGAAAATTTTCCATAGTGATGTCGAAATCATAACAAACTTTAGGGTCAATAACCTCACAGTTCACAAGTATTTCTTTATCGATATATAGTCATCTTTTAAAACAGTAACGCCTCAAATATTTGAGAGAGATACTTCTTAGTTCAAACGACTGACCTGCTGAAAGACTAACAATAGTTTACGAACCTTGATCATATTATTAATAAGTAGTTTTTAATGGATCCTAGCTGCCGAAAAACCATAGAAATGCTTATTCTGGTAACACACTACTAAGCGTAGCTTTTTATAATGATTACGAATAACGACACATAGGACAAGATGTAGCGTTGTAGGAAATACCAGTCAGATACCTTCACACATTAAATAGCTATTTTTCACAAAATGAAACTCATATCATTGGTCTCAACTCATAGATGAATTGATGTACAACTTTTTTATACTCGATCGGAATATTTTGGTCTAGAAGTACTCAAACAATGCGAATTACTTCTGTCTGATGTGATATATCTAGGCAACAAAAGGTTCCAAATGAATTGATCGTTTATTTGAATGGCGTACAAACACTTCTCAGTGTTGTTTAATTTTGTGACAGTTTATCGCATTCTGTTGGTTTGGATTATTAATAATCTTCAATATGATTTGATATTATTACCGTGAAACTGGGGTTACAGACTTAGTTAGTAACTATCGTCCTGTTTGTCCAACCAGTATAGTCGCCGAACTAATGGAAAAGATTATTCGGATGGCCATTATCAACTATTTGAAAGGGAAGAATTTTTCAGCCAGTGGATAACATGGATTTAAAAAGGCCCTTTGTGTTTGACAAACATTCTTCTCGCAAGAGAAAATTGGGTTGCAGCAAAAGACATAGATATTCCGGTAGACGTAATTTTCATAGATCTGAGTAAAGCCTTTGGCATGATATCTTACCTTAGTCTTAAGTTAACACCGAAACGTTTCTGGGTTCATTACGAAATTGTCAACTGAGTAAAGGTATTCCCCTCAGTGATAGGAGACAACGAGTAAGAATATATGGAGCTCTATTAGCATGGTAATCTGCAAAAAGTGAAGTTCTCCGAGGTACATTCCCCTGTCCACTTCTCTTTTTATCTTTTGTTAATCACTCGCTAACTACAACGGTCCTGTGTTCTACACTTTGAAGATGATATAAATATTTGGAGACTAATACACAGTATGTCAGGTAGAACAATATTATAAGATGACCTAGATTCACCGGTTGAATGGATTAGTAGAAACTGAACCGTGAAGGATATTCAAGTAGGACCGTTAGTCAAGCGACTTTCCGCCCATCTGGCACTTGATCCATGAAAATGTCTTTTATTTGCTTCAAAGTCATTGAAGAGTATTAATACAATCGTATTATATTTTGCTTATTTATCCGCGATTTAAAAACACCAAAGGTGTATTATACATTGTTAAGGCTAACCTGGAACATTAAGCATAGTGTTAAGCACATAATGTTATTATTATTCGCAGTTTATTGGCAGGTTCTACGAAAACACTAACCTTCAGCTCCTTCTTCATCATCTATTTCAGTTGCATCACGATTAAATGATTCTGCACTCTCCTCTTCGTCTATGTCTTCCCCCTCAGGAAACTCTACTTCGACTATGTAGTAATTTTGAATCAATCCATGAATTTTCCCCCAAAATCGCGCAGTTTGAACAGCTTGGGTATTCACTAGAGACTTGATAGCCATGTTTAATAGAACAGTCTCGTTTTTCCCAATACCTACTCCTGCATTATCAAAATAGTATGCATTTTCCATCACATTCGGAAGGGGGTGTTCTTCTCCTTCATCTGCTACAGGCTCCTCGTCCTCTTCTGAGTTTCTCTATAAGAGACATAAATGAGTAACCTTCTACTGATAAACAACTCCATACCGTAAACAACTTTTGCTGGATTTTCGCCGTGGAAAATGACGCAGGATTCGGATTCGAAGGGTCTCCTGGACCATGCCTCTTAGTTTCTAGTTTAAGGCGACCGCTTAAGACTTCAAACTCATTAAAGTCATCGAATCTTTGCTGGTATAGCATGTGTTTTATGCAGTTCTTCAGGTGTTGATATCTATAATGACCTAACACTCTGTGTAGAAATCAACTAACAAGTTAAACCCATAGCTATCCGACATTTCTATCAGTGTCATTTTGTGTTTAAGAAAATTCCCATCACTTCTAGTTGTCTCACTCATCACTACACTACCGTCAAATCACGCTGCAACTGCTGCCATAGCAACAACAAAATTTTATTTTTTAAAACAACTATCTTGAATCTAACACACGGTATCAAATAACTTCGAACATATTAGTAGAATATTTATTTTATCGAGCTTTGGCTTTTATGAATGCAAAAGAAAGTCTGCTAGAAACACTCAATAAAGGAGATTGGATAAATTCCTGAATGAAGATCGACAGAGGTAAAAAAAGGCTCAAATGGTTGTAGATGGAATAGAATAAGCTTTCGCTTAACAGGCTTCCGTGTCTAGTAGCAAAAGATCACGAATATTTTCAGGCAGAAACCTAGTTATATTAACGATAATAGAAGAAAAAGATATTGGTAAATAATAGTAATATATTATCCTTAGTCCCTAAGAAAATGTCAAGTTTCCTGCTAAATGACTCCTGAGTAGTCGCTTAGACTAGCTCAGCCATCAGCAAATTCCACGGATTGACAACTCTTGGGGAGGAGAAGTTGTGTCTACAGTCCGTTCTGCTGTGTTGTGTTTCCAGTTTCTGGGTGTTACCCCTCAGGTTTGTGTTGGAGCTTAACCTATGTAGATGTTCAACGGGATATCCAGAAGTGGTAAGGATGCTGTAAGCCGCCTCTAAGACGCCTATACTCTAATACGTAAAGGTTCAGTTATTGGAAGCGCCATTCATAAGGCTTAACTTTGAGTCCCCGAACTGATTGCGTTGCTCGACGTTAGATACGCTCCAGAGTGTCCCTATCCTCTTCTAATGGGGGAGAAAATATTATGTTTCGTACTCTAAACGAGAATTATTGAATCTGTTAAAGATTGTGTGGGAAGTTCGTCCGTCTAACTGGCCGAAAACGTGCTTCAATGTTACCAGTGTAAGGTTTGCTGGGAAGGCATTTTTGTCATAGTTAGCCTAAGAATTCAAATCGTAGGGTACCAGCACTTCAAAATCTTTTTCAACTTGGGATAAAGAGCAGCTTCTCAAGTTGTAGCTGTAGTTTACAACATGTCTCAGATGGACTACTTTACACTTTGAAGTGTTAAAGTTAAGTCCGTTGTCATCTGCCTAAATTTTGAAGTCGTGTCAGATCATCCAGAAGTACCAGTATATTCTTTTGAACTCTACCATGACATTCCATAGCCTGAGAGAAAGTGAAGTTAACCTTGACCATAAAATTTCAATTTTTTATATATGAAGTGAACCAATCAAATAGAGGTGATTTGATACTCAATCGTTTGAGCTTATTGATATGACATATATGGCTGACCATATAAAAAGTTTTTGAGAAGTCAAGGTAAATGACGTCAATCTTTCCCTCGTGATCAAAGATGGTTGTTCAGCTGTCCAACGCGGTCAGCAGATTGGTGACAAGAAGTTTAAAGATAATAAGTAGTCGTGTATAACGTCGCCGTTGTTAGCAGTTCGTTTGTATTCCGCCAAACATTGCCTTTTATGACTTGGCAAACGAAGAGTTCGGCTCTTGATGACCGTAGGTTGCTAGAAGATTTTTAGAACCCTTTGAGGAACAGACTGCTTTGTAGCACATACGACTGTGTGCAGTAAAAGAATCTCAATGGGCATGCGTATCAAGTTGAGGGTGAATTTCTCACATTCAACATTTTCGAACTTTCAGCTCTTGTTGCTGGTAAGATGTCTTAGCTCAGTTTACCTGATAAAACTATAGGCTGTGATCGCTTCTCCTTAGGTGAGCGAGGATTGAGAGGTTGTCAATTAGGAATTCTTTGTTTGTAAATATCCAGTCCAAGAGCGACGGCGTCTGACTATTTTTCCAACTAGACATCTCGAGGTGGTGGACAATCTTACTGAGCACCATACGGATTCATCAAGATTGATAAACGCTTGATTGTGCACAAGATTCCAAGTATAGGGCTTGTAGAATTATGCTCTACTTCGTTGTTAGTACTGCTCTAATAATAGACATAATCCCAAAATTGTAGATTTGTCATGATGTAACTGCCTAACATATAAGATCTTACGTGGAAGTCACATCATCGTATACACCAACTCATCGTATCTTAACAATCACTGATATATGAAGGAGAACAAACTTAGGCTAGAGGTAGAACAATATATTTAATATAGATAAAAATAATGTTACGCAAGTAAGACTACGTCTGTTTTGCCGAGCCATGCCATCCGACTAATTCTAACTAATTCAACTCCTTCCCGCCTTCTCCATCTTTCTGTTTTTCTCTGCGTTAACTGTTGAATATTTATTTTACATGTTGTTTCGTGTTCAGCTTTGAGAATTGTGTGGTTAGATCCCAATGCCAGTACAAGCTACTCCACCCTTATTTCCTGTTTTTCTGTAATTGCGAAACAAAGACATTCCGGGTATTGCTAGCTAGATATCGGAGTTCCAGATATTCCTATCAGATGAGCATTATTAGCGTTGTTGAGTTCACGTATCTCATCCATTTTATTCGGCAAACTCGAGGCGTTCGTACATAAGCAGCTTGTGCTTTCTATTTGCAACGTTTGAGCTTCTCCCTGTTTGTCTGTATGAGCCTTACGTGAATGGAAAGATAGCCTAGCTATACAAAGTTTTCTAAGTTGATAAACCCTGTCATTTACACGTTTTTTTTATGATCAAGACAGTTCACAAATGGAATAGCCAGCCCCAACTTGCCTTTGTGCTTGATCCTGGCGTCATGCGGCCCATATGGATTCCGACTGGCAACCGACGTCTGCTGGCACGAAATGCTTCCAGATTTGCAGTCTCCATACGAGAGGATGGAAAGTTATTTTCATTTGCCTTTGGGTTGACAGTCAAAGTACTTTGATACGACGATAAAGAAATCCACGTTAATCTCTAACTATGAGGTATGAGTTTGGAGTCAGCTGGTTCGTCACACCACTCCGTCTAACTCCTGTAGGCCTTCAATAGTTCAACATATATCATTCGCGTTAGTGATGTACGGGGCTGCGGAATTGCCTCATATGATTACGTCAAATGATTTTACAAAACGCCCAGTTGAAGCTCCCCATTCAACACTCCTTAAAAGTCACTCGCTGATATTCCTGTGGGATAATTTTTTATAGCCGCTATAAATGAGAAGCAAAGTTGCTGTACGCATGAAATTTTGGGTTCTTACAGCAGAAACATTTTTTGAAACTTTCCTCATGTCAAATCAATAAATTCATTGACAGAAGACAAAACTATCAGGAATTATTTTTGGATGAATATCATCGGGAACCTAGTTTTCCGTGGAAGATTGTTGTTAAGAAAGTCTTCTTCCAAGTTTTGTTTGAACTGCATCGCTTTCAGCAGCAAAATTTCGTGTAAATATACTATCTGAGATGAGTCTACTGCTGGCCTGATCATGTGCAGAATGGCGAAATTGATGAATGACATGGGTTCTTAAATAGTGACAGCTGTGATTTTACTGAATATAACATAAGCGAAAATGCTTAAAGCTGATACTGTATTTTCAAGTAAACATTCCACTGTTTTAACATGCCGTTCTTAGAAAGAGGCTAATAAATCGTTTAATTTATTTCAGTGTTTGTAGTGGGTGTGCTTATAAAGGTTCAGTGTAACGTTTGTTTGGACAGATTATGGAACTTCATTTTCATGTACTTCAATAATGTTAACCCAAATGTTCGAGACACTAGATCCTCAGAACTTACTTGGTTAATGTCGTACTTTTGCAATTTTATTTTGGAAATCTGGATTCCCTGTTTTCGCACCAAGAGCGCCTATTTTCACCTTCATATTTTACTTACCACTTGAGAGGACTACAAATGTAATTAGTTCGTAGTCTCTTTCAATATTTCGCTGTCCCACTAACTCTAAAATCACCTTACGGAGTGTATACGATTGGAAGACAAAATTTTCTTTGATCTTACTGTCTGTTCTGATCAGTACTCCTGTTAAACGATGTGGTTTAATGATTTGAGTTGATATCTCAGTTTTTACTCGATCAAATGCAAATTTAATTTCAGAATCAAAGCCATTAGGTCCATCCAAATCTCGAAAAACAACATTCGAAGATATTCCTCTATTTTTCCTGAGCAAGGCATATTTTTTATCTTACTTTGTAGCATCGGGGAGGTATTCTGTAACTTAAGGGATGATGGGCCTTCAGTAACGAACTCTGCATTTCTCACTGGCTGCCTCACAGATTTTCATTCCACATCGCTAAGTTCGTTAATATCGTGACTCTTTGAATAGATGACAGTTGTACTTGGGTTTTAATGTTAAGTGAATTTGTGATCACATTCAACAATAGGTGGTCCATCAACCTGAGAGATATCTTCACGCTCTCCTTAAGAGATTCCCTGTCTTTATTTTTAATGGTTGGGTGTTTATCTTGTACGAAGGTTGCACTTGCCGTACTGGGACGGTTTTTACTGTCAGTACTAGAATTTCGATTTGTTTCATCAACACGGATAACTATCATCGAGATCATCAGTGATTTTCTCAAGCAGTAAAACATAGAGTTAATGATAGTTAGAACTTGAATATCTCTTATATGTAGTGGGTGTTAGACGGGTCTAAATCATATAAAACCAATCCTTAAATTACGTAGCACTCCTTTCGCAACAAAGAAAGGAGAATTAGACCGTTCACATTGATAAATACGGTTGGCCATTACGATTAAATTTGCAGAAAATTCAACTATGAGTTTGAAAGTTATTTTTAACGAAATTTGTATCAGATTTGACAGATTGTTAGAATGAGATTTAAAAAAGTACACACGACACTGGAAGATTATAGGAAATAACTATAAATATACCACACGAGTGAATAATTCAAAAAATATGAGCTCTGACTGATCTTAAATGTTTCGGATGTCATAAGCAAACAAAAAGAATGTTAGTCCACAACAAGTTGGAAAATCACAGGCCTGTCATATCACGCACCACGATTAGGATACTTATTTTAGTGGATTATATGCCACAGAAAAGCATCTCTTACAACTTAAACATAGAACTAAAAGGAGCCAGCGATTTTCTATTACTACTTATCAAAGAGTGAATACTTACGTTTTCTGTCCGAAGGTTAATTGAGTGGGGGATTTCGAAGTGAGACGTTTCACTTATACACGCACTGTGGTGATTGTTGTAGGTTGGTCGTTAGTAATCACCCAGTTCGTAATCACTGTGATGTACGGATTTATGTAGAAACTTAAAGGTTTATTTGACAACAAAGAATACAAGTTTCGTCAGATGAAATCCGTGATTTTGCATAATCTTACTGAAGTCTACCCATATTAATATGCGTAAAAATGCCGAATGGATTACAACTTAAAAGTTCTAACTTGGGACATTTATCTTATCTCTGTATAAGACTTAACTAATTATGTCTTTTTCTGACATTGCTTTGATCTAAATGGGATGGGCTGAGGTTCCTGCGTCTAGTAGCTTAGGCAAGCTAAATTACAGGATGTCAAATTATTGCAACAAGGTAGTTCGTGGTAGCTATGCCTACCAGTATTGATTCTAACCAACTTTCATGAATAACAAATTTTAAAAAAAACAAGTTTTAAGGGGGTTACTCAAGGACTCAAATAAAATGTTCTTGGAATAAGGCTAAAATCCGACTTTCTCCACAGGGCTGGAATGAGACGACTCCCCGAAATTCCCATTTGAAGGTTTTAGTTTTCCTGATTAGAAATAATTTTCTAAAAAGCATCACGGGCACTAAAGTTTTGCATAACGGCTGTCGCGTTATGCAGTTGATTGTTTCTGGAAAACGTCTGTGGGTTCGCGGACTTCCATGGATTCCTGAATTAATGTAGGTAGACCGAAATTCGAGATTATACTCTCTTGTTTGATGGTGGAGTGCTTTAACAATTGGACTTCCACTCATTAAAAAAGTGTCTTTAGGAAAGTTTTTTCACTTTTCCCGTTTTCAGCTTCTTGAATCTACTAATAAATGACTCTACTTCCCTCATGACCAGTTAGGTTTAACAAGGTCTCACTATTACTTTTCGTTTTCAGTGATCATGGTGGAGTTCGTAAATGGACGCTTTATTAACTAGCTTCTAAAAATTCATAGTTGACAGTCCGTTGGAATTCTTACATCTTTTTACAGCATTCTTGCATCAAAAACGGTTTTCCAGTTACTACTGGAATCTTTCAGTAAATTATAGGGACGACTATTATTGAAACTAGTAATTCTTAAGGCAAAACGTCCCGTAGCAAGAATGCATACACTGTTAGATGTGACGATTCATTCAGTTTCCCATGTCAGGGTTTGACAAATCAGTGTCTTTGAAACCAAATTTTCTAAACAGTTTTTGATTGAAATCATGAACTGATTGATGTCAGACCACCACCTTTGAAAACTCGGAAGCACTAGACGGCCGTTTCGTCCTATTGTGGGACTCCTCAGCCGTGCGCATCCACGATCCCGCTCACGGGATTCGAACCCAGGGTCTTCGGTCTCGCGCGCGAACGCTCAACCAACTGGACCACTGAGCCAGCATCCAATGGTGATAGTGTCTAACATCAACCAATTCACGAAATTGTGCGACCAACTTCCATTGTACTGAGGTAGATACCTGTCCCACAATAGGACGAAACGGTCGTCCAGTGCTTCCAGGTTTCCAAAGGTGATGGTCTAACATCAATCAGTTCATGATCTCAATCAAGAACGTAGTAATCTCCACAACCCCTATACTAGTTTTCTAAACAGTATTGGCGTCTTGCTATGTATTATTTCCCTTTGATTGTGACTGATATGAAACTGGACAACTTTACTTAGCTTCTGTGTACAGTAATTTCCTTAATACCTCATTGTAGATCGCGTGGGCATTGTGAGATGGATAGAGACTCACTTCTTATGGCAGTTTCTTCTCTCCTAGATCCAACTATTGATAACGATCAGCGAAGTAAATGCTTCATGGTAATGCGGTTTTATTGTTGTTTATAAATATACAGGTAGCTGAGAATTACAAAAATGAGCAATTCCAGTATGCTGATGTTGACTTTCTGTGTAATCCGAACCAGCCTTCTGCTATCATACTTTTTGGACTTCAGTGTTTAGATCATTACTTAAAGTATTGTCGCGTAGCATACATCCAAGTTTTAGAAATCATTGGGGTCAGATGGGGTTTCATGCGAAATCCAGCCTGAAACAAAATATTTTTAAACTTTCAAGAGAAGTACGCCTTATCTATTTCTTACTGAGTAAGATAAATAATTTTCGGTTTTCTAGAGAAGAAATGCGCGCTTTCACTCTGATGTTGAGTCAAATTATCGTTTTCCTCATCAAGTGTGAATGGCCTCAGCAATGGCCTACTATGTTACCTGAATTCCTGTCCCTTGGAAAATTAGGGGTATGTTTCTTATTGAATGATCTACTCTTATTAGATTCCCCAAACTAAATTAGTGCTGAATTCATTCTTAAGATTGTACGAAGATGTTATACAATTCCAAGATGCTCCACCATCTCGACGGCGTGACATTTTAACAGGTCTGAATGACAACTTGACCGAGATATTTGTTTTTGCACTTGATAGTATTGTCAACAGACTCCCGAATGCCGTATGTTCATTATTTACTCTACTTTCAATACAAATTAGGATTCATTCATCGACTGCGACTCACTTGACATCTGTCGTGAGTCATTATGTACATTGGGAGGGTTCCTAGAGTCATGTCGTCTAAATGTTTTGACTTCTTGGACCCCTTCAGAAATCGCTATCAAAAACCTCAACCTTAGTCGCACCTTGCCATTTCTGAGTTTAATTACTACGCTCGTTGGGATTAGAAGTTTACAAACCGATGCTCTAAGTTTGATAAATATCTTGCTATCCAGACGAATACAACCGGGATCCGAAATTCCAGATTCATATGGCCCAACTATAGCTGACAGTTTTCTGAAAGAGCCTTTGGGATTTTCATCTCCATGCAATAATCTCATAAAGGTTTTATGGTAAGTTGGCTTCATAGTTACATTGTTTTTAGTTATTTCTCGTTAAAAGTGAGCCAAAATATTCCTTGTGCTTTTTAGTTCTACATTATCCGAAAATCCCGAGTATTCTGATGAACGTTACAACTTCTTAAGGCTATTTGGTGATATTGTAGTCCATATTGGTTGTCATATGATTATCCATTGGAAGGAGTATTCATATGAATCCGCTCTCTGCAATTGCTTGGACAATGGTGTATGTGAATGTCCTAACCTACCATCACATCTCTTCCAGGCAATTTTACGTTTGACTGCCTACCCAATCCAAGTACGTTTATAGAAGTGGCATTAAAAATATTTAAATTTGTGAAGCAGTAAAAAATTGTCGTGTTCTCACCGTCTTTTTATGATCAACAAACATCTAATTTACAACCCCTTTTACGTTTAGTGCTGTATAGCCGTTTACTACCAAATATTTCGTTCAGTTTATCAGTTTTTAATATTATTTTACCAATAACCGTTCCATAAATAATGTTGATTTTGTTCTAAGTAGTGTACTGTGATCTATAAATTTTGTATTGAGCTATTGTAAAACACATACAAACATATTGCGTCAGATATGTGACCACGGTTTATACAACGTATCTAGATATTGAAGGTAACGTAAATGTAACTAAACAATTAACTAAGCAAACTTTTCTATTACATATATTTTTTGCTTAGTTTCAGTCACGAATGAGTACATTTAGTCTTTGGCGAAAATATAAAGCTTTCACTGTAAAAATAATATACTGTGTTCAATTCACTTGGTATTGTTTTACTTGAATCTTCCCATTGATGTTTTAGGACTGAAATTGATCAGTCTCTTATTGGCATATGTGCATACTGTGCGTATGCCTCGATATTGCCTTAATTTACTAGCATTATAAGCAAAGATGGATAGTGGCTAGCAGTGGAATCCAGGACTCGTGTTTCGTCTTGTTTGGGACTCGTCAGCTGGATGTACCTGCATCTCAGAGTTGATGTTCACTGTGGGACTCGAACTCAGTACCGTTCACTTCAAACGCCATCGCGTTATCCACTTAGCTATTGAGTCATGATAGCCACTTACTTGTGCAATAGGGTGAAGTTTAATTCACTTGGTATTGTTTTACTTGAAACGCGCGTCCTGGATTCCACTGCTAGCCACTATCCATCTTTGCTTGTAATACTGTGTTCAGTTTACGTCTAATAAGTCATGGCAGAGAGTTCAAGAGACCCCTGTACAGTTTAGAAGTTTCTAGTTTTAAGCGAAGTTCTTTCAAAATTTAATTGCAATCTTACAAGAGTTTGAGCTTCAAATGCATGTAAAACGTTAGAAATCACGTTAGATTTATGGAAATCTTGGTTATCAAGATCCAATGCCTTCAGCTTTTCTCCTGACAGCCTGATTGGAGTTTAAAAATGGTAATCAGTGATAAATGAGGTCGTAAACATAGCGTTTCCAAAAATTGTCTAGTCATGTTCAGATGTTGAATGTGAATGTCCGCCACTTGATATAGATTGGGATATTTGAAGTTGTGTATATTCTCATTCAAATACATTTATCTAGTATGAACCTTGAGTTCTGATGAGAATCATACTAGTCGCCCAGAGTTACCATAAAGTCAAGTTTAACAACAAATTAAATGTATGAGAGTATGTATTGTTTGAAAGACCAATAAATAGTAGTATATGTGTGAGTGATGTTATCTCAAATGGAATCAAAGAAATGATAATTCGTTATAGTTAACTGAATTACTAAATGCATGTTGTACAGGAATAAGAATCTTTGACAATTATCAGTGAGTATTTGATAATACGAGTCCTCCACTTTGTTTAAATCTTAGTTCGTCTATAAATCCATCTTTTATGAAAATGGCCTATTAATATTAGAAAAGAGAAATTTCAAGTTCTTGAAGGATTTTGAAATTGTAATTAAGCTTGTTATGTTCTTTACTATGACTTTTAACATCGGTACGCATGAGTCTATATAAAGTGTTTCTGTATTTTCTCATGTACAGTATATTTTCCTATAAGTGCTTTTGTGTAATGTTTGACTTTTTGGTACCAGGTGATATCAGCGTGCACTAACAAATTTTGGATCACCGTTCTTCGTTCAGACGAAAAATCTTTACTAAAGTTAACTGAAAGGTTTGCGGATGATTTATTTAGCATTTGGCGAAAGAATTCATTAAAAGTAAGCCATTCAGTGACTAAATCATATTAGCTAAGTCGGGTTTTATTGGAGAGTATTTATAAATAGTCTATAAAATTCAGTTCACTAATTGCACCAACAAACTTGTTAACTAATGTAAAAATTACTAAAACAAGTTGAACTAAAATAAAAGGTATTCTGAGCTTTTGTTTGTTTATTTAGTAGGTCCATCCAAAATCGAAAGAAAACTGCACTGTGAAATCCTTAGTTTCATTATCTTTTTAAGACCGTTAGCGGTTGACTGTTCTATTAAAATCGACATACGCTGGTCTAAAAAGTATTTGTGACTAATTTTCATGGGTTTAAAATATGCCATTATGATTACTTCAGTTTGATCCACCCGCAAAACGACTAAACCTTACAGAGTTACATTAAGTCACTTCTTATCAGAAGTGATATGACTGCAAAGACCTTTCAGGTTCATTGGTAGTAGTTGATAATCTGACACAGGAAAAAGTAAGTTTTCTTCAACACAATCTTCTGTTAGTTCGTTTGACACTTTGGATAGGACATTCAGTTGTTAATATTCTCAAGCGATCACGTTAAACTTTCTCTTGGAGAGCTTTCACTTTAATCTTAGCTTGTTTCCAGAACGCGAGACTTGGTGTGATTATTAAAACAAATTAATGGTGAAAGTATCATTTTCGAAAACAGTCACTTCATTAATATGACTCATCAAACTAATTAGTCATAGGTGAGATTTATATTCATATGAAGCCGATAACAGTATCTTATCGATAAGTTATACACACGTAGCGTTGGTAGTCAATCTACATTTGAGAGTTGTTTCAACAGTTCATTTACAAAATACGGTAAATGCGTCTACTTATACTAATTGTTTACCACAATGGCTACTATATTTTATTGCTAATTTGTTAGGTTGGTCAACCATCTGGTACTGGTATTCAAAGTGAGTGGAACCGAAGAATTTTCGAAACCGATGATCATACTAGTTTTTTCTCCCGTAAGTTGAAACTAATCACTATTGTAAAGAAAATGAATTAGCTGACATAATTTCGAGAACTTCACTATTGCTACCATTTTCTAAATTTTGTCCTACAATGATTATTTAGTTGTGAAAATACTATTAAATAAATTATTGTTTTAAGGCAAATAATTTAATCCACCAAGTAATTGGATATTCTTGCGCTTTAGATTGCAATGGCACTGTTTTACCGGTTATAGTATGACTTACCTTTTTGACCAACAGGAAAAAGCATTGATTTAATTTCAATCTCAGTTTCCTTAATGCTTCTCAATCATTGAACTACAATGTTAAGTAGATAATATTCTTCATCATTTATAGCAAACCAACATCAAGACCATACTGTTTTTATCGTTCGGCAGTTAACTAACAAGTGGACACAACATAGGTCTTAGTATGATAATCCATCAATGAAGACCATACTTTTCACCAGCTTATCACTGGATATTTAGGAAAGGGAAATATAATTTATAAATGAACAGGAAGCTATATATATGGTAGTATTACGTACATAATTTTGAAAGATGGTAGAGAACATACTCCTATCTGGATCATTTCCATGTCACTTGTTACATACATTCTTTCTTGTCCCTGAATTTATTGGCTAACATCTGCCTCTAACTTATTATTCAAAAATAACACCAGAACACTCTAAACACTAGAGATAACCCAATCATGTTGTACCACAAATTGTCCAAAATTTAAGAAGTTTTGTATTTAATTTAAATATATTAGTTGAAAAAAATGTAGCGTTCTGCTTAGAAAGTGGCGATTTCATCTAGAAAACTTCCGTGTGACTAATATTATTAATAAAATGTATACTTGAAATCCTAAACTAACATTTAACTGCTAGTTATGTGTTCAATTATCTTTTAGTACCTCTTGCGATATTCGAATGACTTCCGTCATTCACTTGTTGTCATCTATGAATTGGGTCTTGGAAAACTGATTATTGAATCGTTCCTCTGTACTTCATTCCAAGCAGTTATAGGGAAATAGCAAAATGAATTTAGCTAAGTAATAATAAATTATCTTATCTGAGTGGTTAGTCGTTCATGCATAAATGTCTTACACTTCAGCCTAAGAGCGCTCCAACTGATGATTGGTGGCTTTTCACAACCTCATTCGCATTTATGCAGCTTCACCAAACTCAGTGTTAGTGCCCAATATCGTAACCTGGTTAGTTGCCGTATATGCACAAATTTAGTGATGCTTGTATGTAGTTTCGCAAACTTGGAACTTGAAATAGTATTGTGATGTGAGCTACTTATATTCACATAAGTAGTATATAACGGTGGCCAGGCATAGAATGTATTCCAGTAGAAGATCGATAATGAAAGAACGGGAACGGAACGCAATTGGTATGGAAATGCATGAACAATGAAACCTGAGACAATGGACACTAACATTTGGAAAAGGAACAGTCAAGTTTGAGACTACGGATTGATATTTTGCAAATTAACCGTTTACTATATAGTTCTGAGATTTTAGTGAGATGCTCTGTAATTTCGTGTCAAATGCATTCGATTGTCCCCACTCGTGTTCTTGTTCACTACAGTATCTGTTGAACTATGATAAATATTACAAGGAGATTCCATCCCTATTGGCTTATTTATTAAACTAGTGAGATCTCTCCGGGATATGAATTCCCAAATATTTTAGCAAAATGTCATTGCTTCCAAAAACAGTTAAAAATTCGTAGTGCTATGAGAGAAACTATTATGCGGATGTATTGTAGTATGGTTTTCTTCTAGCCATACATATATTTCTGTCCTCCAACATAAACGTTTTTATTTGTGTAAGTTTTATTCAGTTTTGTTAGTCAAACGTCTCATTGATCCAGAAACTTGACTTACAACTATTAAGTTATGATAATGAAGACAGAAGTATATTTGCAATATTCCAATGGGTAGAAAACTGGATTTTTGACATTTCGTGACTGAGTGTATTTCTTTATAAACTTTGTAACTACTTTTTCAGTTTAATTCAGTGAACAAATTAGGTTAAATATTTATTACATACAAACAATTCTGATCATACTAACGTCATTTTATTCGGAGCAACGAGGATTCTATGTGAAACATGTTTTTATATGTGTTTGAGTGGGTGTATAGATGACAGTAGTGTAATCCATGTGTTTTTTGTGTGATCGTAAACAGATTACATATGAGTTGTGGTTTGAATTTACCTAACTTACTTTGTTGCGGTCTGCTAAGTAGTTTTTCTAGCTTCTATGTAATTAATATGATTCCCATCTTTACATCAGTACCCATAGACTGACTTTTAAATGCTTATTTATGAATAATCATATATAAAGAGCACAAATATGTTTTCAGATAAACATTTATCCTCCAAAAGGTCCTAATAACTTCGAAAGTATGGTGTAGCCAAATTAAATATCTGAAATTAATTTTATGATATTTGTTCACTTATTTCTTTTCAGGATACCGAAGTGATTTAGTGAAGTGTTTGTCAGCTGGAGCGTCTTGCTGGCCACAAAAAGTTTTACTTTTATGTATATCATGGATTGAAACACTAATCCAAGCATCTCCTTCCTGTCAAGGTATTTTAAACAGATATAATCAATAAATTTGCTTTGTATTAATATTTTGACGTAAATTATAAACTTTGGGTGGATTACAGAATGTTTCTCTCTCTTTCTTCTATCCGGTTTATCAAAGCTCCCGTTTCGTAGTGTATTTTCGTTTTTTTTTGTTATCTTTTCCAGATTATGATCCAATTACTAAATTCCTGTTAGCCACTTCACCACTTATACTCGAATGGGAAGCTTTAGATTCGTTTCTAGAACCATGTCTATCAGCTGCTGAACAATCGTTGAAGGCTCTTCATATTGATATGGATGTTAGTTCAAAAGTGAAAAATTTGATTAATGGGATTTTACAATCTTCAAATAGTATGGATCCACTCCTTCGTGCTAAGCATCTAGCTTGTTTATCAATCCTATTACAACATGTTGATTCAAATAATGATTCAGAACTTCTGGTACCCTTTTTAAATAAGGTAATTTTTGTCGTTATTGTTAATGCTTAACGTTTCTATTATTGCTACGTAGACTCACCTACATAGAATGTTCCACTACTAGTTCAATGTCTATTATGCCGAAACCTTTATGCTGAAAGTAATTAAATATGTAAATTCATTTTTATGCAAGTAGATTTTATTTGTATATAGATTTATACATTTAGACAGTTTAGCAACATGTGAGACCAAATTTTTGTCTTTTTTGAAAAAAAACGCTGAAAGAGACTAAGTACACGGATGTACTCTTATTTGTTTTCATTTCTGATTTATCTGATGAGAATATTCCCAAAAACGATAAAATTGTTCCAGACACTCAAAGTAGAAGAATGTAGTTGGGAAGAGTAAATCAGGAACTAACGAGGTATTTATTAGTTTATGATACCTACCGAACTTCAAATAATTTATAATTATTCCGTTCGTGGTAGATATGAATACCATAAGTTTTATCTGTTAGACTTTACACATAAGTCCATATCCTTGAGTAGGAGGAACCTTATTTTATGTAGACTGGGAATTACTACTTAATTTTGTGTCCTACATCGTTTATTTCAATATTAAATCGTTTACTGTGAACTTCATACCAGTAATGTCTATCATATCTTTGCAACACTGCTTTCATTAAAATAGAATACTAATCAGTGTTTTTCTGAGAGCAATTTAGCGATTTCTTATTGACCTAAAATTTATTCCTAATTAATGAAATGCTGACAAATAGTATGATGGTATATGTTGTGGGAGCTTATCTTTCATCGAACTGGGCTTGGTTATTGAAGGTATTTCAACTCGTAATACTTAAGGATTGTGTTTTATGTAACAGTTTAGTCTGAGATGTTGCTTATATGGCTTACGAATTACTTTCTTTTAATTATGTTCTAGATTTTTGAATCTTTAGATTCTTGTCCTGTTGTGGATGAATCTCCATCTTTAATCGATACACTTGATTTTGTAAATAGACCACGGCAAGTTAAAACTATGCACTTAGCATCTGCAACATCATTTCTTCGTTTCACTCGTGCTCATCCTATAAGAATGATGGTAAGTTCCATACTTCTTTTACGAAATGATCTAATTGTATGATTTTTATTAAGAATTTGTTTCTTTTTTTCTGTCGCTTAGATATTTCAAAGTAGAATAATAATTATTTGACACAATACCGACAGAACAAAAATGATCGATCTGATTGTGTTAAACACAGCCCTTGCCAACGTTTGGTGACGTATTATCAGTTATTCCTACAAAATTAAGTATATTATTGCTAAGATTTTCCTACACGACGCAGCTACTCTCATTGCTTACTATTCTTAGGACACGTTACTTCACTCGACTAGTCCCCAAAATCAAAACACGGTTGAACAGGAACAAAATTATGTTTCAAACAAACAAAGTTGAATGAGAGCAAGGTTCACAGTAAGAAAAGTGTTAGTATATTTATAAATGTATACGCGAAGATTCTAGAGTCTACAATTATCGCCTAGCTGTGATTGGCTAAGAAATGGTTAGTCAGCGTGCTCTAACACAGTCAGTCAGTAACAACGTAGAACTTCGTACGTACGTACATCAGTTCGAGTTGCCATACCACATTAGCACACAAATACAATTGTCGATTCAAATCCCGTAGTGGTAAAGGTAGTAAGAGTATAAGCCATACTCGGAAAGATTAAGGTTTGAAGATGTTATTCAAGGAGTATAATTCAGTGAAATAAATTTGGAAAGAGAAAGAAAGAACATGAAGAATTCAGAAGATTAGAATTTGGAAGAACACAGAGAGGATGCACCTGCGCCATTGCAAACGATTTTGAGCCATGTCATTCAGGGTCTCTAACCATCGGTCGCTATCATCTCGTGGATCCCAACCAGTTAGTATACACCTACCAACATGACTCAGTCTACTTGTCAGTGACTTCATGGGTTTGTACCATGTTCTGGTCTGACCGCCCCTAGCTTTCTTCCAACCTACTCCTACACGAGAAAACATCTCTCGTCAGGACAGTCGGTGGTTGGGCATACGTAACACATGTCCCAGCCATCTCAACTGATGAAGTTACACCACTTCATCAATTGATTTGCCATCCTTACCTAGTACCCGTTTCCCAACGACTGCATTACTTACTCGTTGGTCCCAGGATATACGAGCTATGTTTCGAAGACACCTATGATCGAATACTAGTAACCTACCAATATCCTTTACTCTAACCGCAATGTTTCACTGCCATAAAGAAGGACGGAACGAACTGCTGCGCAGGAAACCCGTCCTTTAGTTGGTAGACGGGTATCTCGCCTACGCCATAAATGACGCAAGTTGGCAAAAGCTAGTCGAGCCTTCTGTATCCGTGCTGAGATTTCGTCACACACCAGACCACAAGGGTTGATGAGACTTCCAAGATAAGTGAAGTGGTCGACACGCTCAATTACTTCACTCCTTATCATTAGTTCGGGTGTCGATGCAACCCAATCCTGAAGCAACATTTTGCATTTGGAGGGGGAGAATCGCATCCCGAACATGCTTGCATTGTTGCTTAGAGTGGTCAGAAGACTCTGCATTTTGTCAGCGTTTTCACCAAATAGAACTATGTCGTTGGCATATTCTAGGTCAGAAAGTGAATCTCCCGGTAAAAGTTCAACTCCTGGAAATTTAGACAAGGAAAGTGTTATCTCTAAAAGTACGTCGACGACAAAGTTGAACAAGAATGGAGAGAGTGGGCATCCATGACGAACACCACTTGAGATAATCAATTCTGATGACAGTTCGCCATAAGCTCTCACTCTACCAGTTGTGTTCGAGTAGAGAGCCTTTACAAGGTTAATGTACTTCTTTAGTTCTCCTTCCAATGACAAACACTGCCGTAGAACCTCACGATTAACAGTGTCAAATGCCGCCCTAAGGTCGTGCAATACTACGATTGTGGGGCGTCTGAATGTGTGTCTATGTTCTAGGACCTGACGTAGTATGAATATCTGGTCTATACAATCACGTCCAGGTCGAAAACCAACCTGATTTTCTCTAGTCTGCTCTTTACGAGCTTTAGTTAAGCGTCAAAGTATTACTGATGCTAATATTTTAGACACTATATTGGTTAAACTGATTCCTCTGTGATAGTCACAAGAGGACTTTTGTCCTTTTTTTATACTGGCATAATCAGTGATTGAGACCAGTCAGACGGGATTGCGTCCAGTTCCCAAATTCTACCTAAGACCCCAGTTAATCTCACTGCTAATACTGGACCACCATCCTCAAAAATCTCAGGAGTAAACCTGTCAGGGCCTGCTGCCCTCCCTCGCTTCAGATTTCCTATAGCTTTTTCAACTTCGTAAAGAGTCGAAGGACTTACATTAACTTGCCATTCAGGTTGACTCGAGATCGTGGGAAACCGAAGTGTGGTTGGAGGCCAGTTGAACTGATCCCTAAAGTGTTCTGCCCATCGATCCAATCTCCTAGATTGAGAATGTATATGTCAATCTTTCTCTGAGAGTGTTTCGCTAACAGTCGGTTTCCTTAAGTCTAAACAATTGTTTGCTATTACCTAGTGCCGCTGCCTTTTCCATCTCTCTTGCTTTCGCTACCCACCACTGTTCACGACCATTGCGTAGACTTCTTGTCAGCCTGCGCTTAAGCTGACTCCGCTCTTCACTATGTTTAGAGCCAGGTGGAATGAGTTTCCGAGCATCTATCAGTGCGATAGATGCTGCTGAGATCCAGTGTTGCTCCCTAACCTTCTGGTTTACCTTACTAGCAGATATCACTGCTGTTTCCACAGCTTTTCGGATATCATTCCATGCTGCATCGGGGTGGGCATCACATACATGGCTGCCTAACTGTTTTCCTAGTTGTTCCTGAAATATACTCTTAGCTTGACTATCATTAAGTAGGCCCCTAAGAGGTTTCCTTGCAGCGTCTTTCTTACGTCCAGTAAGACGCAGGCAGATACGCGCTCGTACTAGAGCATGATCTGAGTGTAAGCATGTGCTACAGAATGAGCGACAGTCTTCTATCGAGCCCCTCCATCGGTGGCTGATAGCGATGTGATCTATTTGGGTCCAACGTTGGGACGAATTAGGGGGTCGCCATGTTAAAAGATGTTTTTCCTTATGCTTAAAGTTAGTCTTTGCAAGGAACAGGCGGTTATCTGAGCATAGCTGCAACAGACGGTTGCCATTATCTGTTCTTTGAGCCACGATGCTATAAGATCCACCCAGGTGTCTTTCCCTATCGCTTAGTTTACCTACTCGTGCATTAGTCACCGGCCACTATTACTACATCCGAGCGCCTAGCTTTTCGAAGAAGGTCGGAAAGCATTCTGTAAAACTCATCTTTTACATCATCTGAGCTGCAGTCAGTGGGAGAACAGGCAGACGACGAAGAGGCAACGACGAGTGTCCCTATCTTTCCGGATCCTTACTGTCCCGTTCAGTCGGACAGCGCACAAACGACTGTCTACTGGGATCCAGTCTAAGAGAGCTAGTTCTGCCCTAGGACTCAATGCTATACCTACCCCGGCGAGACCACGAGAAGCAGCATCTGGGCTTCCATATACACGAAGTGCGAATCGAGTTGGTTCTTTATTTTAACATGGTTATGTCAAATGAATGACGCTATTCGGATCCTGTGTGCGCGTTTCGGAGACGCAGCACACATCGATAGCGCGGGATTCTAAAGTCTTAGCTAAGGAAGCCTGCTATCCTATTTGGCAGTGTTCGAACGTTAAAAGCTCCTACGTGTAGTTTAGAGCGTGGTTTCAGAAGACCAGGAATAACGTTCCGCGTACCCGAATCGTTTGCCCTAGCGGTGCGAGGTGATAAAGGGATGTGAGAACGGATAGTCCTGGAGATAAGAGAGGTATTAGGAGGTGTAGGAAGCATTTGAATGTGACCAACTTGGTCTCATGTGCTGTTACGGGTATGAGGGCTGATGTCACTTCCCGGCTGCCCACACCGTGGAAGAGTATATCTTGAGGAACCTGAAAAGGAAGTCGGATTAATGTCTGCCTTAACGACCTGGGAGCGTGATCGCAGAGCTCAAGGGACAACTGCTTGAGGCCGGTCGTGCACGGCCTTTTTGTGAGAGGTTTTTGACGTGTTAGCTCCGTTCTTCAAAGGGCCTTACCGCCGGAGACGGAAATCCGTGAGGTAAGGTGAGGTGTGACATTTTTACGGTCGACCTTTTCTAACCCCTTCCTTCCTTGTGAGAAGGCAGCATCGCTGCAGATGCTGGTTGTCTAAAGTAAACACCTTACTGCTGTCACACCCCTCTACAGTCAGCAGTACAACTTCGCCCCCAGACCTTGAGTTGCTGCTTTTAGTCTTACCGTTCACCAATCGACCTGCCTGGCATGGTAGAACCTACAGGGCATATGTTCCAGTCAATATAGCTCGGTTGGGTCATCACGATAGGCAAGCCCGACCACCGCGTCAAGGTAGAAGCTACGGTCGGGACTCTAACACAATTCTGAACGAAGCACGCTTTAATCTAGTATATAGCCCACTCACAGTTATGATTTACATCAACAAATATATTTGATATTTTGTTTACCTACAAGCAAAATTTCGTGATCTTTTTATATCTTATAGTGAATATTAATTATGGGGGCTTATACAACCCTGGTTGACGTATTTTCTTTATGTTTATATAGTTTACTGAAAGTTGATTTTGTCATATTAATTAGTTTATCTACATTACTGTCGAATAATCATATATTGACTGTTTATATGTTAGATTATCGTGAAAAGTTTTAATTATCCTTTTGATTTTAGTATTTCATTTGTTTTTGTAGCCTTATTTTGATAATATATTAAATGAAATAAATAAATTTTGGATGGAGAAAATTTGTGGAAGTATGGAGAAAGGGATTCTTTTAGAAGCTTTGGTGATACTTGGGTAAGTAGCGAGTGTCTCATGTACCATTGAGATATATTTATTTGTTGTTGTTACAGATTTTCTTGATCTGTCGTCCTAATTGATGTATTTTCTTGTTTAAGCTTTCGTGTTCCTCAGCCAATCAATGTACAGTTCAATTTTCTTCAAAGTTTGCTTGTCAATGTTTATGGTCCATGGTGTGGTCAAGATCCTTACAACGTGACACCATTTTCAGAACTATTGCGCTCATGTGAATCTGGGGCACCTGGTTTAGTCGCAGTTTTAGGCCTTGATAAACCTTCTGACCGATTGGGGAACTTTGAATCTCCATATGTTCAAACCCGGATAAATTTGAACCACAATGTTCGTTCGTTATTGGCTGTTTGTAGACGCCTCGCAGAACCGTGCAATAATCAGCAGGTATTTCGATATCTGTATATCACATCAGAGTTCCACAAACCTGTATATTTTCCTCTTACCAGTTTCCTGTATATTTTGAGACTACTTATGAATCACTCGTAGTAGTAATTAGCAGTATACGAGGCTTTTATAATTCTTATACTCTCGAAAGACTCAACTGGTTCAATGGTATAAGAATAATTCAATAAAAAGTCGCTGTTTGGTGGTGGCGTATGATACTATCCTAGTGTGTAAACTTTGTTAGGTGAAATGTGATTTAAGGCCATGAACCTATGTTTAAAAGTTGTTTCAAACAATATGAATAGTTTATCGAACCACATTTTATTAATAATATTTACATATACAATATTGACACGCATTTACAGAGCAAAAGCGTATATACTGAACTTCGTACTGCGGTATATGTAGTGGCTGATGATGCCGTCTTGTTGCTTAAACCGAGGTCGATGATATGATGTTCGGACCTTCAAACTACTGGTTGAAAGTCGAGCACTTCAACCACTTGGTATTCTACTATTTATTCATCATACTCATCTTGAAGTCCGTTGAAGCTCTAGTTAAAATTTAGATATTCTCAATGTATAAAAATATTCATTTCTTTTCGGTATCACTTTATAAGCTTGTATTCAGTCGATTCAGTTTACCCCTATAGAGCAATGTTTAAGAAGCGCAAATGAAAAAGAATTTGTCCTGAGCAATCAGTTATTAGAAAGTGTAAAAATAAGCCAAATTCACAAGCGATATCGAAATCAGTTTACCTAAATACTGTTTATTCGAAAATAATGAGTGATCACTGTTTTCATAGTTTCAATCTATTCATCTTTTTCCTACTTTTGGCTGCACATTGATGGTACTTTGATCCTGCTCTTTTAAACTAGTTCATACATCATTTATCCAACAAAAAGTACTGCTTTATCATGTTCTTCTTATCAACTTAGTAGTACACAGCGAAATATCTTTGTTCCTTGGAACATCAACAAGTGCACCACACCTTAGCAGTAATCTATCACAATAATAAAATGTAACGGTTTGTATAGGGCTGTCGTAGGTGTTATTAGGTTCGTTAATTGTCTCCTAACTCAAAATAAGTTGATACATGAAATTCCTTCAAACTCAATTGTTTCATATATATGAAGGTTCAAAGTAGCATGTACACTAATTATTGTTAAATCCAGTATAATTATCTAAGGCCTTCATCATCACTATTTCGTTTCATTTACCCAGCTTGAAAATATTTCACTACCCATCTTGGAACCCGTTTTATCACCAGTTCTACATGTTCTTCGGTAAGTACCATCATAAATTGTCTTTTTGGTCTTTTATAGGTAATTCATCAATATTTGTGAATATGTTCATTCACAATTAATTTTAATTCGTATTTACTGAATTGTTTTGTAACTTAGAGCATTTAACGAACTTTGGTTACCGGAAACACTGAAACTAGTTCATCCAACTGTACTTCCTGTATTACAACATACAGATGAAATTCAACTATGTTTACTGAATTCTCAATTTCAAAATATACTCAAAGTAAGTGGTGATGTAAAATTTAAAAAAAAACATATTCCCTCGTAATTAATCGTACTTATTATTTTGTCAGACGGTGGCTGAGTATCTGTATTTCCTTGTTCACAGAATAGTTAACATTATTTACGCTTTTTGTTTGCTAAAAGGTTAAATAAACAGTTATATTGAAAGGAGAACTATGTGTATGAAACAGTTATATAATAAAAATGGTAAAATAAAATTAAACCAAGCAATTTTTGTCTTTAAAATGATTTACGAGTTGATTTTGTATTCATATGAAGTTGGACTAAGCGAATTGAGATTTTTATGTATGTTTATCACTCCACTTAACTAAATAGTTGCATTGATATTAGTTAAACGATTAGAAAGCAGAAAATGTACAGTGTTCTCACAAAATGGTTACATTTCGTATCCAGGTGTGACTATTTGCTTGACCATCAGAGAAAAAGCGTTTGGCAAGCTCATGGACACTACTATTGGGAACCTTATGAGACAGCAAAAGATTTACATCCAAAAACGGCTACACTATTATTGCTCACAAAATTAGGTGAGATATGGCGTGAATTCACTCCTTGGTAGTTGATTTATTCGTTCCCTAAAACAGTAAATATCTTAGATATTATAAAACCAATTATTAATCTTTAGCTTCAGTGGGTTACTGTTGTAGTATATTGCAGAGATAGCTGAATGTGGAGTTTCAGGGACTGGTTTTAGTTCGCTGACTGCCCATAAAAGGAAGTTTTACTAATAATATTATCCGTTATTCTACCTGAAGAAACCTTGTTCTTATAGATCGAATCACAGACTGACCTTAGGTCGACTACCACTCTAAGCCAGGAAGCACTGGGCAGCTGTTTCGTTTTCGTGTGGAACACTTTAACAGTGCGCATTCACAGCTCCGGCGTCAGATACTGAACTCATGACCTTCGGTCTCGTATGCGAACGCCTAACCTCTAGACCACTAAACTGGAATCCAGAAGTATACATTTTCGAAGGTCTTCGTTCGGTCCTCGATGGTGGGGTTATAAATGAGCATTAATAAGGTGTTTCGTATCAGGACGAATCAGTCTTCTAGTACTTCTTGGTTTTCAATCATGATCCAGCTAATATCGTTTCGTAATTTAATCTATGAAAATGTAACAAACTCCACAAAACCCTCATACTATATCCCGTTCTGTATGTATTTATTATCTGTTTATTGTTTTTAATAGTCTGTAGATGTTACGAATCCTTCGTTACACCGATTGCGCACTTTTCTCAATGACTGTCATGAGAACTTAATGGGGATAGTTGGCTTTTTATTTGTTTCGTTGGGGTCGAAATTCTATCGTTTACCAACCGAACAGTTAAGAATTGCATTGCACGATGGTTGCTGTGCTGCATTTGAACATTTGCCTGACCTCAAGCTAAATAGTCTTCTACGTATCCTTTAAAAATACTGCATTATTCTTATTATTATTATTACTATTATTATTATTATTATTATTATTATTATTATTATTATTATTATTATTATTATCATTATTAAGTTCGACGTGAACATATCATTGCTCAATAAAACCACTTTGGGATCACGATTCTTTACCATTATCCGAGCTTCGAATATGCGAATGAAAAGCTATAAATGATAAAGTAACTAATATTTATCCCATATACAAAGAATTTATACCTCTTAAAGTGTTTTGTGGTATTATATTGTCACAAACAGCTGCGATAGTTCATCCATATTAATAATTTTTTCAGTTATTGAGACTGTCGGTTGATTATTAATGTTAAATTTTATCAATGACATGTATGGCTAACACATGCTAAAAAGAATATGTTTTCATTTAATGCTACCTATATGGTATAATTGTTTAAATTCATCCTACTTAATGCATTAAAGTCTTCAAATGCCCTCAGCCTATATTTTTCTTAACTGTCGTCAATTAACCTAGGATCTATTCTTCGTCCATTTATCCGTCAGTGTCCTAGACAGCATTTTGAAACTGCCATCGCTCCCTTGGTCCCACCAGTAATTGAAGCTGCTATTAAGGTAGGATCATTACTATCCTCATGTTCTCACAAGATTATTCACATCTCAGACATGATTAGACGGATCATTAACGAAATCACCTCCATTTATTTAATTGCTTTTTGGATAAAAACATCATGCTAAGCATAAAGTATGTACTTCGTATAATAAACCTATGACGTAAATAGGTAAAACTGGTAGACTGACCGTTTAGATCATTGAATTCTGGATTATTAATTTAAGCACACTGTATTTGACATAAGTTCGGTATTGTGTAGGATTGTGCACATATGTGTGTTAACTGCTTAAAAGCCTTAAAAAGCTATGACCAAATAACTGTGCCACCCTAATTCTTCAGCCGATATCTGTCTTTAGTGTAAACTACTTTCAAATAAAATTTCCGATTGCATTTGTCATAGAAAGTTTTAAGGATTCATTTTATTTCATTTCATTGAGATTTTCAACTTTCCCGCTTTGAATGATCATAACCAAGCTTTAATTTGGATATATTTAAGGGAGTAGAGATTAAATACATTTTTTAGTTAATCGTAAAGTTTCAAGATAACTCGTCATATCCAAGTTAAATTGGCAGTAAAAAAGTGAGTGTAGTAATGTAGTTGAATGTTTCACTAAAATGCTATCACTTATTCTCATACTGACGTAAAGGTTGTGTTTACCTGAATTGATAAGTTGTGACATTTTATTCTCGTAAGTGCTTCTCTAAGTCCATAATTCTTCAACCGAATTCTCAAAGATTTTAAATTTTAGCGTGCTATAATTAACTTATACTTTAGATTAAACATATAATAATCATTCTTTCTTCAAAAAGTTTATTATCAAGTAAAACTCAAACCTTGTTATTACATATCAGTGAGCGCATGTTTCAGGTTTTAATTGTGCTTTGTATATAATGTTTGTATGAAAGAGATCAGTTCCAGCTATCAGTAAAATCCACTGAGCGCGTTCCATATTATTTGGGATTCATCAACAAAATGTACCTTCACCGCAGTGATGTTTATCACAGCTGATGAATCCCAAAAAGGACGAAGCATACACTTTGGATTCTATTAACTGCACTTGATCTCTCCCGCAAAACCTTGCGGGAAATTTCTTTGTTAAGGCTATCTGAACAAGCTGCTTATATCCCAATTAAAGCTGATCAAAATTAAGTCAACAATATGACTAACGGGATAATCTTAATCTATCATAATAATGATATTTGTATACAATGATTTAAGCAACTGAATTGTTTCGTCCGGATTTTTCATGAACCTGTTAGTAGTATATATCCAGTTAACTGTAAACTAACTTAACTATATAAATTTCTCATAATGATTCGATTTTGATTTTTTCAGAGAACTGAAGCAAGATGGAATGAATTAATCATGGCCGAGTATGTTTACGTATCCCCACAATCTAATGTCAAATATTATATAACTATGATGACAGAATATGAATTTTTATTACTTATGTGTACAATTCCTGTTTCTTTATTCAGACATTCATGTTTGTTCTGATTATATTTCCGCTTAATTCATTTAATGAAAATTAAAATTCAAAAACCTACGAATGAACTTGTTTTATAGACTACATATGATCTACTTGTGAATAGATGAAAATAGCCCAAAATGGTCTTAGAAATCTGCGTAACGCAATTTTGTAAAATGGGAAAAATTAAAATTATTTGTATGTTCTTGACTACAGACACAAAACAAAGACACCGTTTTAGACAAAATTTCTACCTTATAAGTTAACTTTATTAGGGTATTCTTGTCATTCATGACATTGACGACGAGAAAACATTTATGACTCTTGTTGGATCAACTAGCTTATCTCTGTATAAATAAGTAAAATGTTGCTTTTTAGTCTGTTTCAATGAATCACTATTTGAATGGTTAATAGGTAGGATACTGACCACGAGGATTTTGTTTTTTAAAAAATCACGACGAGAAGATTTTTCTTCAATTAAGTGGTACGAGAGATCTTAATTTATGACAATTGGAATATGTTCTTTTTCATGAACCCGCAGCTAGATCACCCCTGATATTCACGTTTTTTGTCGACTATTTTGTGTTACATCAGTCTGATATAGGACATTTAATTCGTTAATTTATCTTGAATCCTAGTCATGTTCCACATTTAATCAATGAGATGAATAATTTTTTGTTGAACAATACCAAAATCGATTTTAAAATATAATTTTTATCTTAAATTGTTTACTTTTCAGAGGACGTATCTGTGATGACGAAAAAGCAGTTGCAGCTGAACTTGTACTAGACAGATCAACTCGTCTGTTAAGTCGAACGTGTTTGGATATATTGCGTAAGCTATTGATTTTTACCATCTTTAGTGGGGCCATACATTTAGACGTCAATTAGATTGGACGATGTTGTCGATAGGCTTACCATTTTTGTGGCCCCATATCTGACTCCGGTTATATCGTATGCATGTCTTGAGCGTTGTTAGAGGTTATCACTTCCCGGTTGCCCACACCGTGGAGGGGTTCTTCTGGAGGTCTTGGAAGTGAAGACGGACGTCGATTATGAATACAGTGGTCTTGAGTTCTGTTAGAGGTATGAGGGCGGTTATCACTTTCCAGTTGCCCACACTGTGGAAGGGTTGTTCTGGAGGTACCTGAAGAGGGAATTGGATTAGAGGTGGTCTTAGTAACCTGGGAGCGTGACCGCAGTGCCCAAGGGACAACTGCTTGAGGTCGGTCACACACGACCTTTTTATGGGTAATTTTTGTGTTAGCTCCGTTCTTCAAAGGGCCTTACCGCCGGAGACGGAAATCCGTGAGGTAAGGTGAGGTGTGACATTTTTAGGGTCGACCTTTTCTAACCCCACCCCTCCTTGTGGGAAGGCAGCATCGCTGTCATGCTGGTTGTCTGAAGGAAACACCTTACTACTGTCACACCTCTGTACAGTCAGCAGTACGACTTCGCCTTCGGACCTTGGGTTTGTTGCTTTTAGTCTTACCGCTCTTCAACCGACCTGTCTGACATGGTAGGACCTTGAGGAACGGTTGTTCCAGCCAGTAAAGCTTGGTTGCTTCATCACGATAGGCAAGCCCGACATCACGTCAAGGTGGCAACAACGGTCGGGACACAATTAAATATGAATGGCTGTCGTCGGAATATATATGTCGCCTATCCTCCTATATAACCATCGACTTAAATCGCCTTATAGTCGCACAAAAATAAGCTACAAACATGTGGTGACTAGGATAAGATGTACACACACAATACTCATATAAAAAGCATTCAAAGTTGGTAAGTGAGTAATTAACAAGGTCAAAATGTGACTCAAGAAGAATGGATAAATTGGCCTGTCCAGAAGTTAGAATCAGTTACATGTGCTTGACATATTAACTGACACTACACATCAGCCAATTAAATGTTTGTTGTTACATTATTAACCATTTATTCATAACACCTTAGAATTGTTTAATATTTAATAAAATCATATAGTTTATACTATTAACATATAGCTTCTCGTGTGTTTTAATGTTTTTCTATTTGTCTCTTCAACAATATTCTCCCTTTACTTCGATAACACATAGTTAATAGTTTTGGACGAAGTTTTTAAATTTAATACATTTACTCTCGCGTATTTCTTTTAATAGACAAGTTAAACTAGTATATAGCTTAAGATCGTATATAAACTCTAACTTCCATTTCTCATTTCGTTAACCTGTAAAAGACAACCTAGAAAATCATATTTTTTTCTATTATGTTGATTTATTATAAGCTTGTTTCGTTTCCATGATTATTTTTATATATTTACCTATTCATTTATTAAGTCTAGATGCTAGTGACATAATATTTAGTATTAAAAAAGGGATTTTATGGTTTACCTTTCTTCAGTTTATAAATCTTTAAGTTGCATATATCAACATCTGACGTTGAAGAATCAATTATTTTAGGGTAGTAAAACCATTAAAAAATATACCACTAATCCGTGTGTTTTCAACACCTGTTTCTTGGCAAATAGGACTCTTTTATCATCAACTCTGTGTGATATCTCTCTAGAAAAACTTATACAGAATTCTGTACACAGAATTACACCTCGTTTCAATAAATTATTCTACTACATAAACTTAGTTGTTTGCAAAATATCTGGACTATTAATTCTGTTTTCTAAAAACAGTTTACAATTAAACATTTGATTCAGTTTGTAATTAAATGTTTATTTTAACTCCATTTATATTATATTAGTCTTAGATTATTAATCTCACAACTTCAATTGACATATAAACCTATTCAAGTTAATATTGGATACTATACATCCCAACATTAATAAATTTAAGGACGAAGAATGTATATGTAAAATCTCAGAGAATGAGATTGAACCAAATTGCCAAGCGAAACGTTGGATTTACTTCAAATTCATTCTGTGATTTTACAAATACATTCTTCCTCCTTGATGTCTCACATCAACTCAGCGATCAAATATTGTGAAACTATTCGATTGGTAACTTTACTTTGTTATACTAATAAACTTAAATTTGCATGCTATAATTGCAAATATGTATTTGATTGAAACTTGACCATTACTTTGTATCGTTATTTTTCATTTAGAACTGTAAAACCTGATGAACATTTAGTGAAAAGAGCATTCGTTCATATATCTGTTTTGGTATGATTATTAAATTAATTTGTTTTTGTTTATTTTAGGCTTGATTTACACTTTCAATGGCTATGAAATATCTGAACAATTTAATCCTCCCAAGGAAGATGATGGAGAGTGCGATGATGATAATGATGATGTAGACATGTCAGAAAGTATATGTGCAAATGGTCAGTCGGGTACAAATAGTTCACTTGGACATTTAACAAAATTATTGGCAAATATGCACGCTATGTCATCGGAACCAGACTATAATGCACAAAATCTTCCTTCAGATCCTTTGTTCTTACGTTCATTAACGAAAATTTTAGCTTGGCCTGATACTTCAATTTGCTCTAAAGCTGCTCAATGGATATCAATTCTGGTTGAGATGGTTAGTTTTTTGGAAAACCATGAAATTTGGTGTTTTTAGTCAGAAACTTTATCATGAAATTTTGTGTCGCTAGTCGTTTTGTTGTCGTGTAGTGGCTGTGCTTCGTTAACCAATCACCCTCGTAATCGTCATCATATAATCCTCAACGGTGTTTGAAATCAAAAGGCAAAGAGAAGCAGCGACTACAGTTTTATTAGCAGATAGCTCAGACCACAAAGCAGAGAGGCGAATGAGTGAGTCAGCGAGCCGAAAGAGTATGTAGGAATAAATGTAAGCAATGTTCAAGCATACATATTTCATACAAGCACAACAACAATGAAGGTACAATAATTTGTTATAGTAGGGACGACTCTGTTCGCCAAATAAGTTAACAAAAGGGCTTGACCGAATTCAATGAGAGCAAACTCAATTGCACGTAAGGTGCTATAATCGTTAATTAGTAAGCGCTATCATATTCAGCTTTTATTACTTATCGAATTCTGTGGATCATTTTTACACTAGGATTATCAACTAGATATCTTGATGCTATTTGTTTGATGTTAAATGTTTAGTCTAGTTGACTGCATTGCAAAGTTGGTTTATTGAATTTGATCGGTTTTCAAAAATTCGATAACGTGATAGTGCAGTAATATCATCATATACTCGCCAGCGGAAAACGTAAGGTGGCAGCTTCCAACGAATAATGATAGAGTTAAACAACTGTTACTATACAGTTGATGCCAATCATTTGCTTACGATATAACTCGATAAGGAGATTCATTTTCTTCTGGTTAAGTTAGACAACAAATGTTCAACGTATTTAATCTTCTCTGGTATTATAGTGGTGCAGAAATTTACAGGTTTTTATTAATTGCATTGTAACACCAATATTTTTCTATCATTTTAAACTCTGCTTCGCGTGCTCCAGTTTTAGGAACCAAATAATGTCACCTGTCCTCATATCTAATATGTAGCTCAATGGCAATTTCGTTAATTCATATCTGTCTGTTGATTTACACTGAATAGGTTGATGTAAGTGATATTTTGATTAGTGAGTAGTCAATTTTTCCATGAAGCCTTACCAACCCCTTGCATTTGATCTTCCCTCATCGCATTAGTACGTTTTGTAGTTAAATAAAGTTTGGCTAGTTTTCTTATTGTATCAGTTTCACCATAATTATATGTAAAACCGATAATTAAAATCTACTTTCATCTGTGTTTTTTGACAATTCATTTTGAAAGCTGACCAATACCGTCACCCAGACTAATTGTGGTCCAAAAATCGCTACCACACATTTATCTCCTAATATTGCAGAATTTATTTTATTCGGAATCTTATGTGGTCTACATGTAAATGGTAAAAATGCTGAAAATGCTTTAAACTGTTTATTATATGCTGGAATTAAAACTTATCTATCTGTGGATATTATTGTGGCCAGACAAAATTTACGATCTGTTATAATTCGCGTTTTAATGGACACATTAAATGGTGATAAAACTAAAGAAGGCCAAATACAACAACAAATTCAAGTCAGTATTTTTTTCTCTGTGAAAATGTATTTGTTTTACTATTGTTATTAATAATTCCTATGATTTATTTATTCTATTCATGACTATATAACTGAATGTTGAAATATCCCATTACTAGTATTTGGTACACATTTCTTCATATGTGTATTTATTCGTCGTTTATACCGTTCTTGTATTTGATTCGTAAAATTGTCATCTCTTTTCCTTCTGCAAAATCATCATAATGTAGATCTTAATCATCATCAACATATTCTGTATATAATTTCGGGAGTTCGATTGATTCTGTTGCATTTCTAGAATTTTTACTATTTTTTCAGTTAGTTGCTCCATTTATGTATGAATGGAAAAAAGCGTTCAACTATCATAAAGTGTCTAATCATAGTATGTATTTTTTGAAGTGACCTACCATACATTAACATTCCTATTGTAGATTTCTATGTAGATTCCAGGTAATGTCCACCTTGTAGATTGTCTGTTTTCAGTATCCTTTTAGAAATTTACATGAAAAATTCTCGTATCGTAAATTGCATAAATTGTGAAGAATTTTAACCCCTGATAGCCTTGAATTAAAAATGTAATAGGTTAACGAAACATATTTAAAAAAACATCGAAAAAAACCTCTATAACAATGAAAACTACTTTTTCCGCAATGTACATGCAGTTGTATGTGTAGTCCAGCATGCTTTTATAATAATTTCACGTTTATATCATATATTGAGAAGATGGATAGTTACGTATTTAAAAGAACATTTAATTGAATTGCATATTATTACAGTAATCAGTTTTTGTTTAGAATTTTCACATGTTGAAAAACTCCCCGTTACAAACTTTTTACAAATTCTAGATTTTTGAGGAAAAAATGTTTGGTAACCGAAACAAGCCGGCAACAATGCGGGTGAGGCGTGATGCTTTTAAAAAAATCGTCGACCCTATTATTGGGGTAAGTTGTTTTCTGACTCTATCATTTGATTTTTTTTATGACCATTTCAAAACGTTTTCTATTTCGAAGTGTAAATAGAAAGCCATTCATAATTCTTCTGTAACAAACTTCACTTCAGCCGTCATAATGTCTCATTTTCCGTATTGCGTGAATGGTCTGGAGTATATTATGTTAAGACTTCTTGAACTGAACAACACAAGTGTACTTCCATTTTACAGAAATAAGCATACAAAATCCTCTAGATTCCCCCTCACGTGCCCTGGTGCACCCGACGGTGGAGTGAGTCCGCTCTCTCTTTCGAAATGCTCTCACATGACCACGCGTATACAGCTACTGCCAGAGAAGTCCTACTCACTACCTTTTCGCGACGCGAGTGTTGTTTACGAAGTTGAGAGGACGAAAAGTGAATGTTTGGCGCTTTAACTGCATTGGTGGGCACGGAGGGTCCACCTAGAGGAGTTGAGAAACCCTGATCCCAAAACAATGATGCATGTGGGCTCAAGAATCATATGGTAGCAAATGGCGTATGGACCAATATTTGGTCACTGGCTACCATGGGACTGCATCTCCTTACGTTACTCCATCGCCTTATGGATCAGACCTTTGGGTCGAAGGGATACGGGTGTGGTCCCCTATGAAAACCACCCGATTCCGTCTGGGCACCCGGGCTGTATCACAGCCCACATACAAATCAAATGTAATGACAAATAATTCTGAAAATACTATTCTCGCTTCAATTAAAATTCAGACAATTCACATTCACTATTTTTTTATATACTACGTCACTTATCTACTCTCTTCTATTCTAACTTCGTGTATCCTTATTTTTCAACTTACATAGCAACTCAACCATAGTGGAAACTATGTTCTATCTAAACGATTTCGAGTCATAGACTAGTTGGAAATTGCATGCTACCACCGAATGCGAATACTGAAACCACGTATGCCATTCAGACTGGCTGTCTTCAACCTTCACATACTAATGCAGGTTGGACAACAGATAGGGCTGGCTATGTCTTTAGAAAGTCTTAATATCGATGTTTGCTGTCTATCCGAGATCCGTATTCAAGACTCTGATGAAGTACTACAAATTCGCTCTCAATCTGTCTTTCCAAAAAGCTTGTTTCACGTGCGTTTATCTGGGGACCCTGTGGCATCTTTATCTGGTTTTGTAGGCATTGGTGTCGAACTAAGCGCTAGAGCTGAGGCAGCACTGATCAATTGGATTACCATTAACATTCAGTTATGTGCTGTTAAATTAGTAGGTTCCATCAAATTGAGAAAAAATCAGTGTGGGAAACGATGTCTTTTCGTCATCTCCGCCTATGCTCCGACAGATTGCAGCTCAGACGCGATCAAGGCTGGGTTTTACCGCTAGTTAACTGTTCTTCTACAGAAAGCGCGTTTGACTTGAGTGCTCAGGTCGGGCGTCTAGACACAGAAGAGAGTGGTTTAGGTGGCCAATGGGAACTTTTTGGTTGCAGGTCAGACAACGGGGACCATCTACTGCGACTGTGTGCAGACTACAACCTGTTTTTGGCTAGCACTGACTACCGCCACATCGTCGGTGTGCTACCCAGTGTCCTTCATTTCTCATGTCTGGACTCAGATTGATCACATCGCGATCAGCTACCGCTGGTGTGGTTGTGTAAAAAAACTGCCGCTCCTTTTGGAGCACCTATCTGGACTCTGACCATGCCCTGGTCTGCGCCAATCTTACCTTACTTTTAAGTGGCCAACGAGGTGATCGTCACCAAAGGATTGATGTCAGCAGGTTGGTTGCAACTTCTGTTGCAATTAAGTATTGAAACGAGCTAGCTTCTAGGCTAGCTCTCATTCCACCGAAAAGTATAGATGAGTATTGGTTGCAACTACATGACGCCATGAAAATGGCGAGTAAAGCCGCTTACAGCTTTGCGAAACGTCCCGCTTACAAGTGGGCTCCTTACAACCCATCGAAGCCCGTCGGTCCACTCCGGGTGGCCGTGAGTTTGACCACAAACGAAGGCTGTTACGTAATAAAATCGGGCAAAGTTTGCGTAAGGACCGAGAAGCCGGGTGGTCGGAGCGTGCTAATGAGCTGGAAGCAGCAGCTGCATCTGATAATTACCGGAAGCTCTTTCAACTCATCCAAGACACTGGCAGCAAGAAGTCTGGTGTGAGCGAAGCATTATGTGAGGATCATGGGATGCCAGTCACTAGCATCCATCGACGTCTTGGAAGATGAGCAGAATTCTTCGAAGGGCAGTTCAACTGGCCTGCTGCTCCGGCAACATCAATCAGACAGTCCTGCTCTCCATAGCCGGTGACGACTGATCCACCAAATGAGGCGGAAGTCCACAAAGAACTCCTACTCTTGAAGCCATACAAATCACCAGGTTCAGATGACTTACTTCTGGCCCTTTTAAAGATGTTGGTGACTTTCTGGTTAAGGAACTAACCGAGTTGTTTAGAAACATCTGGCAATTATAGGTTGTTCCTACATCATGGAATGAATCAATTGTTGTCCCTATCTTTGAAAAGGTTTCACATCTTTTCGGTTAGAATTATCGGGGATAAGTCTACTTTCGATTACCTCCAAACTTTTGGTCTCCGTCATTTTTCGTAGATTGTTCAAAACACAAGAAAGACGGACTCGTGAAAAGTTGGTTGGTTTTCGTTTTGGCTGAGGATATGTTGATCATGTCTTCATCCAACACCAAATGTTAGACCACCTTCCTACTTATCACAAGCCAACAATCGTAGTGTTTCTTGAAATTAGGACCGTTTTCGATTTGTTGGACGGGACTGTCCTCTGGGATTGTTTATTGATGAAGGATGTGCCTGAAAAGTCTATTAACATTTTAGTAGCCCTATATGCAAACACCTCTGGTAGAGTGAAGGCATACGACCACTTTTCTCAATTGTTCCTTTCAAGCAGTGGTATTAGACAGGGTTGCTCAACCTCACCATTCGTCCTCAACTTTGCCATCGATGACGTGTGTGGATCTGTTGCCTGGAGAAAAATGTCTCAATCTTGAATATGAGGATGATATCTTACTGTGCTATGATACCCAAGCCATGCAATCCGCACTTAATCAGTTGACAATCAGTGTTCGTAGGTATGATATTTGCCTTGCACGTTCTAAGTGCAGAGTACTTTTACAAGACTGGCAGGAATCTCATTCTGGTATCAAAAAGAATTCTGTAATATTCATTCACCATTTTTTCCCTTTTAGTATGTAGTTTAGGTTTTAATTGAAATTTCCACTCTATTTCAGTGTATATGGAAACAGGAATAGTTGTTCTTTTAAGATTAGGTAACACTGATCCATGTTATATGCTGTATTGAACACATTGTTTTCGTTTTAGGTTCCTCTCAGCCAACGTTTTCGTAATGAATTTCAAATACACAGTATACCTCCTCTACACCGACCCAAGTGGATTCGTATACGTGAGAAAAGGGATACATCTCATATTGAAGACGATTTCGGTCTTACAAATTTATTTACTAATGCAACTAACTAAATTAGAGAAATTATGATTGTGTACATTTCTTATTAATGGAGTTTTTGTTTCCATTTCTTTTACACCTCTAACATCAATAATTGCTTTTGTTATAACTGAAATTTTATACCAAAGTTGACAAAACAGTCAGTAGTTGATATCGTTTAAGTTCAGCATAATAAATCCTGGCTTAAGTGTCAATCATAATCATCACTGTAACTCCGCCCTTCTAGGTTTATTGCCTTGCTAAAAAACGCTAACCAGAATTAACAATTTGAACTCTGCCTTGAGAGTTGAAGGATCTTCATTTAGAAGAATTATAACGCCTCATGTTAAATGCCGAGATTATTCGGAAGTCACGAGGCCGATGCCCCTTCTAACAACCAGAGGAACAATTAATATAGGTACATGGAATGTCCGGACAACGTGGGAGATATTGAGGACTAATCAAATAGTTACGGAATTGAGGAGGTACAACTTGGAGGTGCTGGGAATAAGTAAAACCCACTGGACCCAAGCTGGGCAGAAAAGATAAGGTTCAGTGGGAACGCTGTTTTACTCTAGTCATGAAGAATAAAATGCTTCGCACACACAAAATGTGAAGGCACGGATTGGCAAAGCAAGGGTAGTATACCTACCATTGAAGAACGTATGGAACTCAAAACAACTGTCAGCCAACATCAAAGTTAGAATCTCTTATGCGAACGTCAAGATAGTTCTATTGTACGGAACTGGAACTTGGAGAACTACTGAAAGCATCATCAGGAAGATACAAGTATTTATAGACAATTGTCTACGCAAGATACTGAATGTCCGCTGACTAGATACCATCAATTACAGCCTACTGTATGAGAGAACAAACCAACTTCCAACTGAAGAGGAAATTAGGAAAAAGCGCTGAAAGTGGATAGGACATACATTATGGAAATCACCAAACTGCATCACGAGGCAAGCGCTAACTTTCGATTCTGAAGGGAAACAGAAAATCGGAAGACCAAAGAACACGTTGCGCCGGGAAATAGAAGCAGACATCGAAAGGATGAATAGCAACTGGAAAGGAGGGCTCAAGGGTTGGATGGAGAATGCTGGTGGGTGGCTTATGCTCTTACACAGGGTGTGACAGGCGTCTGTAAGAAAAGTGTACCTCATTCTGAGAACTGTTGTGTAAGACACTTCCTATGATGGTTAATTTTTAAATAATGTAAGTACTGCATTTATTTTTATCCTTACAATGGATAGACAATTCCCATTTAAGCATTAAATACACGACGTTTAGCGACCGGATCTCTTTCCAACGAATTTATTATCAAGCTGTACAATGTTGTTAAAATCTTAAGAACAAAGGGATAATAACCCCAGACTTATATCACCACATTCGTCCAACGGGTTCGACCACCCCGCTTACCGGAAGTACATAGACCTGTTTTGGATATGTCAAGTTCACCATGTTAATGAATCGGACAATGGTTGATGAAAAAATTGTAACTAGTTAGAAGGCAAGTATCTAAATATTCTACTCAAGATACTTTTTAATTTACTGATCGTGTTAAGGACGTTAATACTTTGGAAAACACGTGTTCTTGTGTGGCGTTAATTCTTTGTTCACTAGTATACCTTTAACTGAAACGATATGCCATATATGTGGTTTTAACAACATAGATCTAAGTCTGCCAACTGACCACTTCGATTCGTTGGACAGAACTCTTCTCTGGGATTGTCTATTGAAGAAGGGTGTGCCTGAGAAGTTTATTAACATCCTAAAAGCCCTATATAAAAACACCTCAGGCAGAGTGAGGACATACAACCACCGTTCTCCATTGTTCCATTCGAGCACTGGGATTAGACAGGGTTGCCCAATCCCGCCATTTCTCTTCAACTTTGCCATCGATGACATTCTGGAAACAGCTCTGATGAATGTAAGTAATGGTGGTGTGGATCTGTTGCCTAGAGAAAGACTTCTTGACCTTGAGTATGCGGACGATATTGTCTTACTGTGCGATAATGCCCAAGGCATGCAATCCGCACTTAATCAGTTGGCAATCAGTGTCCGTAGGTATGGTATGTGCTTTGCAACTTCGAAGTGCAAAGTACTTCTACAAGACTGGAAGGATTCGAATCCTGTACTCACACTGGATGGTGAGCAGATAGACGTAGTCGAGAAGTTCGTGTATCTGGGTAGCTGCATAAGTGCTGGTGCGGGTGTGAGTGATGAGATCAATGCACGTATAGTGAAAGCCAGAGCGGCTTATGCCAATCTGGGTCACCTTTGGCGCCTTCGTGATGTTAGTCTGGCTGTAAAAGGTCGGATCTAGAACGCGTCGGTGAGAGCAGTTCTGCTCTGTGCTTGTGAAACCTGGTCTCTCCGAGTTGAGGACGTCAGACGACTCTCTGTGTTTGATCATCGCTGTCTCCGAAGGATTGCTGACATTCAGTGGCAACACCATGTCAGTAATCCAGAGGTTCGGCATCGTGTGTTCGGGCACAGAGATGATAATGCAATCGGTGTCACCATCTTGAAACACCGACTTCGGTGGCTTGGACATGTTCTCCGAATGTCGTCCCAGAGAATTCCACGTCGTGCATTATTTGCCAACTCTGGGACTGGTTGGAAGAAGCGGAGAGGTGGTCAGTGCATGACATGGTGTCGTGGTATGAAAGAAAGCTGCAAAAGGCTGGCTTCAGTCGGTCCTTCACGACTCCCTGGTTGGGGTCTGAGAGATGGTGCTACACAGTGGCTAGAGACGTTATCAGATATGACTCAGAATAGAAACCAGTGGCGATCCTGCTGTAATCTTCTTTTACTTTCTTCATAAAAAGTGGTTGTGTCTCCCTTACCTGAAAGATTTCTTCTGATTGTACCTTAGTTTTTTTTCTATTTCTCTTCGAATTCTCACTGTTTTGTGTGGCGCATATATATTGGCGCTCTCTTGTACCAATATTCATGTGTTTAAATAAATAAATTTAATGTCCGATTCAGTTTCAACAGTGAAATATATAGACAAAGAGATGGGGTCCAATTTGAGCAGACTGTTTTATGGCAAAACTGCATAATTAAGTTCGATGATTAATAGATTCCATCTATACGTAAGATACATGGACGACACATTTGTAACGATAATATTGAGTTGGGAGATATCGTACACTCGTTTGACACATGCTAGTCTTCACGTTAGAAAGCGATGAGGAAAAGTAACAGTCCCTTAAAAATATCCATATTTTGACTACAAACATGGAATGGCCATCCGACCAAATTCTACAGCTGAATTCCTTTAAGCAGAAAAACCTTATTTACCGAATACATCGGATATGTTATACAGAATGCATTGAGGAAGAACTCGCATTCCTCAGGAAGACTCCAACGGAAAATCACTATCCAGACCGCTTCATAGATAAGAATATGAAGAGTAGTTTTGACGGAATCCGGTTGCTTCGTTTATAAAAAACCATATAAATTTGGAATTTAGAGGTGATCGAACATCTGATGTAATCAAAAATCGGTTAACGACAGTGACAAAAAGAACATTATGCGGCAAAAGAGAATAACGTTCACAAGTAGTAGCTTGTTTTCTGTATCCATAAACGATAAGCTTTCCCGTCTGGTTGCCTCCATGTGCAACATCTACCAGTTTACCTGCTCTTGTGGAGTAAGGTACATTGGCTGTAGCCAGCGCTCGCTTACAACTCTGACATGGGAACATTTCCCAGTGTGGTTCTACAGGGTTGAGAGGAAAGCAGTTACAAGTTTCATATTTGAACATATAATCGACTATAATCATTCTACTGATTCATAGTTTGATTTTAAGGTTGCATATACGATTCGTCTAAATCTATCTAAATTTCGAATCCAACTCCAAAAAATAGCCGAAGCTCTTACTATCCATGACCTCAAGCCAGAACTATACGTACAAAAAAAGTACATCCTATCGTTATTATTATTTTTTATTATCGCATTTCTCCTTTTACTTATGCATCACATTCTCATTATTTTATTAGTAATTGCTCATATCACTTCATCTATTTCCCACCTCTATTACCTTTAATTGCCTACAATTACTGTAACAAAAACATTCTAATCATCCCACTACATTCATGTAATAATTCGTTACTAACTCATTAAGTCTAATGTTATTATTCGTATCACGTAATCTAGTATTATAATCTTTCTACTACATCATCTTTTTTATTCCTTGTTCACATTTCCTCACGGAACTAGTAATTTTCATATTTATATACGATTGTACCGCTTGATAATAAATTCGTTGGAAAGAGATCCCGTCGCTGAACTTCGTGTTTTTCTATCCTATTGGTGGACAAGTAGTAATCGACAATCTATCACTGAAACATTATCATCAGGACGAACAAATAACTACTGTATATTTTGATCCTTGTTAATTGCTGGTAAAGCATTACTCCGATAATTTACAAGCAAACGATTGTATGTATACGCAAATGAAATAATAACAGTCAGCCTTTTATACGGAAATCCCATTACTTTCAGATTGAATTAACTCATTACATGGATGGCATCTAGCATACTTCTTTTTGGTTTATTGATGGCAAACCCGCGTATGTAAAAATCAGATGTGCATCACAATCTATCCCTCGATTTTCTCAGACACCAGGCTTGATGAAAGCTCCAAGAAAAGTTGTTGTCATATGACCCTTCAAATGTCACGTGATCAAAGTAATCAGAATACCGGCCTCCATGACTTTGTTTCTGTGCTAAACAAATAATGCGCTGACTGGCACGAGCGGCCTTCAGTCAACTCTGAATGGTAGCTAATCGCCTAATCCAGCTCGTTCAGTCCAGAACACAAATCAGTCTCCGCTGTATGAATCAAATACTTCAAACATACGGGGTTTACATACAAGCAGATCAGAACGCATCATATCACAAAATGAAAAAAAATAATAATAATACAAGGTTAAGCCGAAAGTGGCTGTGAGTATAGGAGACTGCAACTAATAGTTTGGGAATAAATTAAGAATGGTATGTCGTATGGTCAAATGATAAAGGAAATATGAATGTACATACATAATCTAGTTAATTAATAATTATCTAATAAAAATATATGATAGTCCATAAATAATTCTTGGCAGTTGTTACTATTCCTTTGTTCTGCGTTCGGATATAACAAAAGTAGAGTTGTCAACTGCGGTGAATAACTAATACACCTACTGTATATTTAAATATTTTATGTTGTGTTTAAACCTATCATGATAATACAACACAATCTCATACTGCATACCTCGAATTTGAGTTTTCGATTGTTTTGTTAAACTTCTATTTCGTTATTTCAAATTCATACCAACGCACCCAACTAAATGACTCAATATGGTCACTCTGCGGTAATACGGACCTGGCCGTCTTGCATTTAGAGTGAAAGAAATACATCCCGGAAATGCATTTCTGCATGCTCAAAATGGTTTTAGAACTGCATCATATCAAAGTTAACGCCATCTGGATATTTAAAATCGATAAGCGAGTCTCTGGGATGATTAATCTCTGAAAAGTTAGGCAAAGCGAGTAATCCTTACGGAGATATATATGGCGAGTAGTGTGCATCTATGAGCACCGCCTAAGTAAATTTGGAGAAACTGGACATTCAAACGTTTCTCCAGGCCTTGGAAGAATTCTATAACCTGAAATTTACGAATAATCATTTTCTCCCGACTCACTGAAATCATGAACCGATCAATGTTAGACCACCTTTGAAAACATGGAAGCGCTGGACGGCTGTTTCATCTCAGCATGGAACTCCACAGCAGTTCAAATCCACAATTCCGTACACAGGATTCGAACCCAGGACCTTCGGCGTCACGCGCGAACGCTTAACCTCTCGTCTACTGAGCCGGCATCCAAAGGTGTCTAATTCCAGTCAAAAGGTTTATTCTCTTTAAAATGCCTATTTCCCTCTAGCGATATCCATTACCCACTTGTATTTCTTCTACTACGTCTACTTCTCCCCACATATTTGGCCGCTATTGAACAATATGACCTCAAACTTAAAAATCCGACCCTAAAGAGTTAAATACAGACGGGTCATCAACGAGTAGTTTCAAATGTGTGAACTCTATTTTTCAAGCAGTATTACTTGAGCAGGAAATTCGTTGGGCAAGGTGATATACGCTGTTTATATGGCAAATATTTGTTAACGCTTTCATATCGTTGTGAGGGAGGAGCGTCGTGGGGGAATTTATTTATTTGAACACATGAATATTGGTACAAGAGAGCGCCAATATATATGCGCCACACAAAACAATGAAAATTCGAAGAGAAGTACAAAAACAAAAAAAACAACTAAGGAGCGCAAAAGAAAAAGAGAACAATAACGAAGAGATTGGTGTAAAGGTAGTGTGGTAGTAACGAGGGAACGAAAAGGTACAATCAGAAGAAATCTTTCAGGTAAGGGAGACACAACCACTTTTTATGAAGAAAGTAAAAGAAGATTACAGCAGGATCGCCACTGGTTTCTATTCTGAGTCATATCTGATAACGTCTCTAGCCACTGTGTAGCACTATCTCTCAGACCCCAACCAGGGAGTCGTGAAGGACCGACTGAAGCCAGCCTTTTGCAGCTTTCTTTCATACCACGACACCATGTCATGCACTGACCACCTCTCCGCTTCTTCCAACCAGTCCCAGAGTTGGCAAATAATGCACGACGTGGAATTCTCTGGGACGACATTCGGAGAACATGTCCAAGCCACCGAAGTCGGTGTTTCAAGATGGTGACACCGATTGCATTATCATCTCTGTGCCCGAACACACGATGCCGAACCTCTGGATTACTGACATGGTGTTGCCACTGAATGTCAGCAATCCTTCGGAGACAGCGATGATCAAACACAGAGAGTCGTCTGACGTCCTCAACTCGGAGAGACCAGGTTTCACAAGCACAGAGCAGAACTGCTCTCACCGACGCGTTCTAGATCCGACCTTTTACAGCCAGACTAACATCACGAAGGCGCCAAAGGTGACCCAGATTGGCATAAGCCGCTCTGGCTTTCACTATACGTGCATTGATCTCATCACTCACACCCGCACCAGCACTTATGCAGCTACCCAGATACACGAACTTCTCGACTACGTCTATCTGCTCACCATCCAGTGTGAGTACAGGATTCGAATCCTTCCAGTCTTGTAGAAGTACTTTGCACTTCGAAGTTGCAAAGCACATACCATACCTACGGACACTGATTGCCAACTGATTAAGTGCGGATTGCATGCCTTGGGCATTATCGCACAGTAAGACAATATCGTCCGCATACTCAAGGTCAAGAAGTCTTTCTCTAGGCAACAGATCCACACCACCATTACTTACATTCATCAGAGCTGTTTCCAGAATGTCATCGATGGCAAAGTTGAAGAGAAATGGCGGGATTGGGCAACCCTGTCTAATCCCAGTGCTCGAATGGAACAATGGAGAACGGTGGTTGTATGTCCTCACTCTGCCTGAGGTGTTTTTATATAGGGCTTTTAGGATGTTAATAAACTTCTCAGGCACACCCTTCTTCAATAGACAATCCCAGAGAAGAGTTCTGTCCAACGAATCGAATGTCAAGAAACACTACGATTGTTGGCCTTTGAAAAGTATGACGGTGTTCTAACATCTGGCGGAGGGTGAAGATATGATCAATACATCCTCGACCAGAACGAAACCCAGCCTGCTCCTCGCGAGTCAATCTTTCTCGGATTTTGAACAACCTACGAAGTATGACGGAAGCCAATAGCTTGGACGCAATGGGAAGTAGACTTATCTCCCAATAGTTGTTACAGGAACGACGTGAACCCTTTTTAAAGATAGGGACAACTATCGACTCATTCCATGACGTTGGTACACTCTCTAGTTCCCAGACCTTTGTAAACAACGTCGTCAATTCCTTAGTCAGAAAGTCACCACCATCTTTAAAAAGAGCCGTAGGTAAGTCATCTGGGTCGGGTGATTTGTAACGCTTCAAGAGTTGGAG